AATTTTCAAAAAAAAAACCCAATCCCCCAATATAAGTTTATCTAGTAGTATGAAGGTTAATTACGAATTACCTATACCAGTCGAAATATTTGTATTGGATTAATCGTTGAGATGGAATTCAAATTTCATTAAAATTGGTAAATGCGTACACGGGAAATATTCATACATGTAGTATTGATGGTTAGAATTCTGAAAATAATTACTTGAAATTATTCTTTCTAAAAAATTATTTGACATTTGCTTGACAGTTGCAGTCTACTATTTATTTAGTGTTAATAATAAGTAGAGATAAAATATTGGTCTAGTAGGCACATAAAGTATATTAAGGTAAAAGATAATTTAAATACCTGTATGATACAATAAAATTTAATTTTGATTTAGGCATATACAGATTGCTCCATTTTTCATTGCAACATAGGCTATGGGTGCAACAAAGACAACTTCAATTTGACACTTATAAAGGAAAAATAAAGAGTGATAATATGTCATTGCAACTTTTCACTCTGACAAATGTTATTTTAATATTCTTTCTTTGTTCAACTCATAGAAATGCTTATGTTGCAATCGTGAATGAATCACGGTGTATATATTTCAATTTATAAATAAGTCAATTTTTATACTCTTCTTAGATTGTTACAAAACAATATTATTTTTTTCTGATTATATCACGGTCGAGTGAAAAGTGTCCCGTTATTTGAGGATAAAACAGGGTTTCTAAAACGGCCGCTAGGAGGCGATGTTGTAAAGGACCCCGGTTTTTTGTGTACGAATTATGTAGAATTAGCATTAAGATAGGTTATATTCAAACTAAAAATGTAAACAAAATATAAAAATATACTTAAATTAGCGATGAATTTGTTGTTAACATCATGCCTCACGTATCTTCGGTTAATGTATTTCTCCATTTTCCCCTCGAAATGTCAAATGATAATTTTTGAAGTTTTGACAGCTTGAACTGTCATTTCACACAACCGCGATTTATATGTAGCGCGACGCTGATTGGCCGAGATAAGTTGGTCTTTCGATCGTTCGCCACGGTGCGGCGAAAAAGTGAAGCTCAAAAAGTCCTCAAATAACGGGACTCATTCTCTAATGCATAAGCATAAGGAGATTCCAGACCTTAGAAATATAGGGCCGTGGATTATATAAAGTAAGTTTGACGTTTCAATTTGCCATTTAAATGACACATCATGGCCAACTAACTTGAAATCCGATATAGAAAATAATATTAACAACGTTAACAAATAAATGTAAGATAAATGTATTTTATATTTATAATGAATTAAACCGTTTCCGTCAATAGAGGAATTATGTAGGTATTTGGTAAATAATTAAATTTAATTTTTGATAATATTTCAAATTGACATTTGAATGACAGTTTTCTAATAAAATCGTTCCAGTATAAATAAATAGAGATAGAAAATTTGATAAGATTAACGAGCAACGAAGATAAAAGACAAGTGATTATAGTTGTTAGATTATCACCAAGTTGTGATGAAACGATTTCAATAGCCTTTCTTCTCAAATAAAAAAAAATCTGATTATTTTTAAGGGAGGTCAACGTTCTCCAGTTCTATCCAACGCAAAGTTAGTTATCGATACATGACAACGTAAACACGAAATCGGTAAAACCGTTGAAATAATCGTCGCTTATCAATAAATTAATAATTACGCACAATATTGCAGTACGATTATCAAACATTCGTATGACCCATAAAAATAATAAAATAAGCCTCGGGTTTCATAATCGCCCGTCACGTGTACAGAACATCTGCTAAACGACCAATCAACCGATCCATATCCTTCGATAGGACACCACCCACCTTGTGTGGAATATTTTCGATTTCGCACGAACTTGGATGGAAATTTTTCACTTAAATCGCTTTCTGGGCCAAACCTATTATAGTCGCGTTAACGCGACCAACAATATTTGTATAGGAATTTTTCGTCCAGGCCTTTGATCAAAGGACGAATCGGTTAATTCCGCTACAATCAAAATATTTTTACCCAATTTCTGCTTCATTACCAATTTTTATTTGTGTTACACGTGCATATCCTACTTAGATATCGCATGTCCTTTGGGAGTTAATTGTAATCAGATTTGATAGTGTGCGTAGATAATACTTACATAAAGTGTTCCTTTTTAATTTAAGCAGTGTATATTCGAATGCGTTCGCTGTAAATCCATGATAATAATTAAGGCGAGTTTTTCGATTTAGATGTAAAGGGATCATTGGGTCAGGGGTAGAGTCGACTCGGCTCAATGTCAAGCGTATAGTCGTCCGACTGTCTGCATAAAAAATAAGCCGTGGAAAACGCGAAGAATTTCAAACATGTTAATATCGAGCATCATATATTCGTTTATTGTTGTATAAAATCGAGGCAGAGTTGTAATAGACATTTTTATTATAAACATTATCTTGTTATATCACCTCTTCTTTATATGCCTAATACCAGTGTTGCTAAGTAATTAATTACAAGTAATTGAAAAAGTAATTGAATTACTTTTATTGTAATTGAGGCGGTAATTAATTACAAGCTCCTCAATTGTAATTCATTTGTAATTCAATTACTCCTTTCGTTACAATTACAATTACATTTTACAATTACATTTCAATTACATTGGACACAAAAGTACTTATTTAATATTTTTAATACGTGGAAAGTTTAATTCCGATTGCAAATCCCTAAATAATTATTTAAAACTGACACCAAAGCAAAGTAATTGTGATTGTAATTGAATTTGTAACTTTAATTGTAATTGTAATTACATTCGCAAATTTTGTAATTGTAATTGCAATTAATTACAATTTGCCAAAAGTAATTGTAATTGTAATTAATTAGGTACATATTATAAAGTAATTTTAACATCACTGCCTAATACACGTTTGATGCAAAGGATAATATATATTATTGATTTAAAATCAATAATTTATTGGTCTTATTACTCATTAAATTGTATATAAAACCTTGGAGTTTTCGACTATTTTTTGAGCCTTGCTATGATGTTAATCGATTATAATTGACACAAATGAATAATAAGGTTTTTTTTATATATTTATATGGTAAAATGTTCAAAATTGCACTAAAAAACTCGAAATGTGAGGGATTTCTCACTATTTTTTTTTGGTGGTACTGACACCTACATATTTACTTACAAGTGCCTAAATGAATATTTACAAAAGAAATTCGATAAACAAGTGGCTAATCTAAAACTAACACTTCCTAAAAAAAAACGCCTCACTATATTTATTCAATAAAGTTATTGTCGATTCTAATGCATTTTTATCTCCAGAAACACAAATAGGCAATCGAATGAGAGGTTGAATTGTCTGTTGAACCTAGAACAATATGCACTGAAGAAAGACTTTTCTGATGTCAATAACCCGACTCTCACCATCAAAAGCAAATTGTCAAATATGTATAAATAGTTTTTGTCTGGGGTCAAAAAGAAAGGGCATTAACCGCTTTTTCCGAGTGCATCGTCACCTCACCAGATTTGATATGTTACGAAGGGACATTCACCTTTTTTTTTCCAAGGGAATCTCGCCTGTTTGTGGAGCGGTCTTCAAACTCTACTCGAGGTGCAAAGGTAAATATATATATAACCACATTTTAATTTGCTTTCTTCAAACCAACAAACATACAAAGTATAATACATTTAGAAGAATAAGGGAAATAAATCTCCTTCGGGACTACTAATTTTTGCGATAATAATCTAGCCTTCAAAGGTTAAGGGCGCCACTTCAGGGTATTTTTAAATGGGAAAACATAGGTTCAGTAATTCCAGGAAGATTCAAAATTGGCTTCATCGATTGATTTAAATCTTTCTTATACTTAATATAGAGACTCCAAGCAATGATATCTCCTATTTTTAATCTCTACTACTTCGTTATATATTTAGGAAAATTGCAATCAAAAACTGCCATTTATTTGCAATGCTATTTAAATGGCAAAACGTAATTCTAGTAAGACTCGAGTTTCCTTGAACGGATGTGTGAATAATTTTAGTAGGATGAAGAATATTTATTACAGAACGATGTCTCCTAGTTTATATTGATCCACGGGCTGTATTAAATTAAAAAAGCTAATTAAAGTATTTCAGTAAATGATGATGATAAATTTCTGTAAATTATGGTGTTGCCTGATATAAATGACAAATCACAACAATTTTGTAAAATTGACTAGCGACAGCGGTGCCAAAAGTTTCCGTTTTCCAGAGATTTTTGGATAATTTGCACTTTTTTAAGGGCAGGTAATATGAAATAAGGCATTTCCAGTGCATCGGGATACTTGTAGAGCACTTTAATGACTCTTTTAAAAACCCTACTCTTATCTTTTCTAATTGCAGTGAAAAGAATTGAATTGAAAATATTTTGAAAAGGATTTCTTATTTTACTTTCTTGTACGTTTGATTTTATGTCAAGTGTAATCAAACACGGAACATCTACTAGTGAGTTAAATTAATCTCATCCCATCTATTGTGGAAAAATTTAACCAAAAATAGTTATACAGTGAAGGCCAAAAGTTTAACTTTTAAATGGTAAGAGCTTTTGTCGCGCAATTTGGGGTGTTTATATTGGAGTAAAAATATTATTTTTTGACGTATAAATGACAGTTGAAACTTTCAAAATGATAGTTAGGCGCAATTTTGAATCTTTTTTTCTTATGGAAAGGGGCGTCAAAAGACACCTCGTTTTAAAGGTAATTTCATTCTTAAGTCAACCCCCAAATTTGAAAACATTTTAGTTCTATATTACCCCACGAATTATGATTTCGAGGGCGTGCTTTGGCGGCATTAAATATTAAAATTTTAACGAAAATCCGTTGGAAATAGAAGAACGCTATAGAGCGCATTGCGCTGGCTTGGCACAGAAACCCAGCAGACCGGAATAAATCGATAGGCGTGCAAAGAAATCCGCAGACTGTTTTGAAGTTAGCGCCATGAGAATATCACACAGCAACCACAACAATCGAACCATTAAAACATTACGCAGAAGCCGTCGAAATGTATACCTGAAAATACAGCAACAGAAACCGTAAGTTCGTTTCCATATTATCACCAAAAATTAACTGATTCCTCTGTCATAATTACGTAGCATAAAATTAATTGGTTTTATTATTGATTATATCTGGTGTGGTTGGATTGCTGGGTATTTTATTAGCTGTATAGAACGACTAGCGACATCTTTATGGAAGCAACTAGGTACTTTGCTTGCTATATTGCAGGAATTGATGACTGGTTTATTAAAATAGGACTACCTAATAGATTTTAATGCGGGAGAGTTTTTAGTGGAGTGTAGTAGAGTTTTTAGTTTTTAGTATATTTGGCCATTTATTTGTGTTTAAGGGTAGGAATGGAGAAGACCATGATTTTTTTTTATTTATTTATTTTCAAAATAGTGTGTCCTAAAAAGGCGATTGATGAAATTTTTATTTTTTTCTGTGGCCAAATAAGGCCGCAATTAATTTTTAAAGTTTGAAAAACGTCACACAATCGTCATACACTCTGCTCCAATCAAAGCGAGAGTTGCAAAGAGAAGTCACATTTAGCAAGTTTGCCACGTTTCCTATTACTCTTCTTTACTCCGCAAAATGTGCGTTTTTTGTATATTTATTGCAATAAACATTTTCTGATTTATCCATTTCTTCCATTACCTAATGGATAATTCGATATATTAATATAGAAATAACATCTTCATCTGTATAAATTGTAACCGATTTTCGTGTTAAAAACACAAATAATGGTCCTGAAAAATTTATTTGGCAACATTCTTGTCAACGTCAATATTATGGATCGTGAGTCATAATAAAAATGTAAATGTAATCTACGTCATACGCGAAATTTTTAAATTTCGAAGGGCTATATCTTTTTAATTATAACACATTTTGAGCAACTGAAAACTGTTTTGAGCCCTAATGAATCATTTCCAATCGTATCTTCTGCTAAAATCCGCATATCTCACATCGCAGTCTTCTCCATTTTAGTCAAATCGCTCCGTGAGAGATGGAGCTAGTTTGGGCTAAAAGTAGGCGGGACCAAAAAAGAAATAAAATACATACAGGGTGTGTGGAAAAAGGCGATTAATCTGTTAAATTATTTATACGCTTAATATTTGAATATTATTTTTATCTTGGTATCCACTTGGACAGAAGAATGACCTGGAAGAAACATATTTTTTACAAGAGAAAGCATCTAGGTCTTAAATTGCGAAATCTGTACTGGCTAATAGGTAGGAGGTTCCAATTAACAATACAAAATAAGAACTGTATTTGCAAATGCGTGGGAATTTAGGCTCAGCTGAAAAATGCATTTTGCTCAGTAAAAAAATAATAAATCCTCAACCCTATTCTACCATAATCTACCCTCCTCTACCCCAGCTACCTTGCATATCTGAAAACGTAACTCACGTGGTCTTTTGCTTTCTTACTATTGGCTAATGCATTGTCCAATCTCTCATTGCCATATGCCCAAACTAGCTGCATCTCTCTCATTCATCGACAACACTACCTCTTTGTCTAAACCGCGTCCATAGTTAATAGGTCTATGTTTTCAGACAATGAACAATCACAACATAAAAATATCGAATTTCTCGAACGCCGAAACCGTCACCTACCCCATAATCAAGCTAACCGGCAGCGTCCAATTCGACGCGAACATCTTCTGCGGCATATCCAAGGACAAGCGCGTCATACTGCACCAAAACGACCAGAACACTTCCACGTCCAGCGATCTCGTCGACAACAACTTCAAGTTCCTGGTGCAGCTGAGCAACGGCAAGAACCTCATCACCGTGCAGTATTGCTGCGAGAGCGTCTCCGTGGTGTTGGAGTACTTTCCAGGTACATAAAACTTTTCGATACCGCCCGGCTTTCATCGTAGGTGTTTGTAGTTGTATCGGAAAACTCTGTGATACCGCTGTATGTGATATGCGAGGACCACGACGGGTGTTTCCAGGCTCCTGCGTGGGAATCGAACACCGTGGAGAGCGCCTGCAGGAGGATATCGCTCGCTTCGAAGCTCCTCCAGTGCGTGACGGCTGAGAAATTGTATGAGCACGGTTTGGGGAGGAAAACGTTCGGCTTAGACGGGGATTGTCGGGTGTTTAGAAGCTCTACCAGCACCCAGCAGGCGAGGAATATGGGCCAAATGGAGTTGTGGGAAAGTGTGGGTAAATTTATCTGCTGAAAGCGAGTCTGTGGGTTATTTAAATGGATTTCTTCAGGTCGAGAAATCATGAAATCGTCGTTCGCGTCCGAATGTAAGAAGTATTTAGCGTTCTTGTCTTGCACTAAATACCGCGAGGATAAGTACGATGAAGATATCATCAAAACCCATGATGATCTTATTAGTATAACTGATGGTTATGTGGCTTTAGGAGGAGGCGGTTTGGCTCTATTCGGTACCGCTTGTTTGTACACTTGGCCCGAGAACTTCGATGATATTATAGCGAAATTCGAAGACACAACTCCAGTAAACCGAAACCAATTCCTAGACGACAGCTGTTACAGGTTACACAAGAATATAGGGTGTTCATTAATTGAATGCGGATACTTTAGGATGTGAATATTTGATTGAGTTTAAGATGAAAAGTTTATATCAATGTATGTCCTAAACCTCTTATGCCGGATTTCACCAACATGTTTTTAGGTATTTCCTAACTAGGTAATTTCCTAACTAAGGTAGGAATTACTTATGTAAATCGAATACTTACCTAAATCGAATTTCACCAACATTAGAAATCCCTTACTAAGAAATACCTAGGTAAAAATTTGATTTCGACAATTTTTTGAATTTTATTGGTAGCATTGGCTAATTTTGATGTGTAAACCGAATAAGCGGAGATCGAACTTGAATATGTTGAGAGAAAATAAGAGATGTTGATGATCCGGACCATCTTTAAATTATGTTAGTTATTTTTAAATCTGCTGAAGATGTAGTCTGTACATTATTAGAAAAATAACCTTTCCGATTTGTAAAATATTTCTACATCTTCTTCTCCAGGACTATGGATATTTACATGCATGTGTATGGTCAATAGTTCCAAAAACTTCCTGTGTATCAAATTAAAAATCATCTCCAATTCATTCTAATATTTGTAATGCCGTATTTTTATATATCGAAAAAGGCGAAAAAAAATCAGTTTCGTCCAGTTTCTAAAAACTCTCTTCTCATTTTAAATGTTCATCTAAAGAGTCTAAAAACAGTCAAGACTTAAGTCACATGAAATCACATGGAAAGTATGGTTAAGTATTTCCTAAATGTTTTAGACAAGCCCAGTGAGTTGTCCTAACTTTAGGCATTTCCTATCACTTTTAGGTATTACTTAGTGCATGGTGAAACGCAATTTGTAGTTAGGAATTCCTAAATCCTGTTTAGGTATTACCTAACTTTAGGAACTGGTTGGTGAAATCGGGCATTAATTTTCGAGCTACAGGGGGTGTTAAAATTTTAGAAAAAAAAATAACTTTTCTATCATAATTTGCGTATTACTTCAGTTATTTTTAAGAAATTTTGTATACACTTTTTAATTATTAAGGAGCATTTTTTGAGGCATAAGATTTTTTTTAAATATTCACCAGTGACGTCCTTACGGGGTTTGAACTGAATATGTTTGAAAAAAATGGTACGCCACTGCTTTTTCTAAAAACTAAAATTATTTTTAAAATCCTCATTTATTTTGTAGCAAATTCGGTCAGAAGACTTAATTTCGTACGACGCACCATTTTCGCGTAAAAAAATAAAAACCAAAACCATTTTTTCGCAAGTTCATTTTGAGACTGCTTTTGATATTTTGTTGAAATTTGATAGGCGCCCAACAGACATGGAAACACTTTTTTTTGGGGATAAAAATTAATTTTCTACTATTATCAGTGACGTCTACGTCCGAAATTTCATAAAAATATCTGCCGTAATAACAAAATTATGTTAGAAAAGTTATTTTTTTTCAAAAATTTTAACACCCTGTAAGCTCGAAAACTAAGAGGTTTAGGACATACATTGATATAAACTTTTCTTCTTAAAATCATCCAAATATTCACATCCTGAATTATCGGCATACAATTAATTAACACTCTCTGTATAGCGCAGTGCTCATCAAATCCCGATTTAATTACCTTACAGGGGGACATTAGGGGGTTGTTTCTCCACCACATTGGGCTCAGTTCTTCACGAGCTCTTCCACACTTTCGATCTCGGACACACCGAAGATGGCATAATGGGCAGGGGCTTCGATAACATCTACAAAGTGTTCACTTTGTCGAACAAATCCGGGGACAATCCGAGCGCTTTTCCGGTGAAAATCGAATTCAAAGAGGAGTTCGAAGCCGACAGTTTGGTGGAGAGGCTGAAAACCGAGAACAAAAAGAAGGAGTTTACCGTTATTAGGAAATTCGAAGACGTTGACGATACGGTGTTGAGCAGGAGTTGCGCGGTTATTCTCTGCTATCATAAGTGAGTTTAAGGCCGCCAAAGCACGCACTCGAATTCGTAATTCGTTGGGTAATATACAGTGAGGTCCAAAAGTCCGTCGCCCCCCTTTAACTTTCAAATGGTAAGAGTTTTTGTCGCGCAATTTGGGGTGTTTATATTGGAGTAAAAATGCTATTTTTTGACGTAAAAATGACAGTTGAAACTTTCAAAATGACAGTTAGGCGCTATTTTGAATCTTTTTTTCTTATGGAAAAGGGGGTCAAGTGACACCTCGTTTTAAAGGTTATTTCATTCTTAAGTCAACCCCCAAATTTGAGAACATTTTAATAACGCGTATTCACGTGAATACCAATTTAGTTTTAACACCCGGGCATATTGATACATTTAAAAATTAATTCTGAACGTATTATAAAATGTGTCAATTAATTGTTGCTATGGTTTCTTGGCTCTGACATTTATTTGTCAAATATAAAGTTGATAAAATTGACAATGGCTCGTCCTTTAAACGAAAAAACTCAATTTCATCAACTTTAAATTTAACAAATAAATGTCAGAACTAAGAAACCATAGCAACAATTAATTGACACTTTTTATAATACGTTCAGAATTAATTTTTAAATGTATCGATCAATATGCCCGGGGGTTAAAACTAAATTGGTTCACGTGAATACGCGTTATTAAATTGTTTTTCAAATTTGGGGGTTGCCTTAAGAATGAAAATACCTTTAAAACGAGGTGTCTCTTGACCCCCCTTTTCATAAAAAAAAAAGATTCAAAATGGCGCCTAACTGTCATTTTGAAAGTTTCAACTGCCATTTATACGTCAAAAAATAGTATTTTTACTACAATATACACACCCCAAATTGCGCTACAAAAGCTCTTACCATTTAAAAGTTAAAGGGGGGGCCACAGACTTTTGAGCATCACTGTATTACTATTTTTGGTTAAATTTTTCCACAATAGATGGAATGAGATTAGTTTAATTCTCTAGAAGAAGTTCCGTGTTTGATTAGACTTGATATAAAATCAAACGTACAAGAAAGTAAAACAAGAACTCCTTTTCAGACTATTTTAAATTCAATTCTCTTTCCCGCAATTTGAAAAGATAAAAGTAGGATTTTAAAAATAGTCGTTAAAGTGCTCTAAAAGTATCCCGGTGTACTGGAAATACCTTATTTCATATTACCTGCCCTTAAAAAAGTGCAAATTATCCAAAAATATCTGAAAAACGGAAACTTTTGGCACCGCTGTCGTTTGTCAAATTTAAAAAAATTGTTTTGTGATTTGACATTTATATCAGGCGACACCATAATTTACAGAAATCTATCTTCATTTTCTAAAATACTTTAATTAGTTTTTTTCAATTTAATACAGTCTGTGGATCAATATAAACTAGGAGACATCGTTCTGTAATAAATATTCTTCATCCTACTAAAATTATTCAAACATCCATTCGAGGAAACTCGAATTTTACCAGAATTACGTTTTGCTATTTAAATAGCATTGCAAATAAATGGCAGTTTTTGATTGCAATTTTCTTAAATATATAATGAAATAGGAGAGATTAAAATAGGAGATATCATTGCTTGTAATCTCTATATTAGGTATAAGAAAGATTCAAATCAATCCGAAATTTGAATCCTCCTGGAATTACTGAACCTATTTTTTCCCATTTAAAAATACCCTGAATTGGCGCCCTTAATGAACCGCCACAAAGGCTTAGATTAATTAATTTATATACATTTTAGATGGTTCAACCAGACGCCCAAACAATCGTCACTTCTATCGTTCGATCCATCGAACAAACTAATAAAATCTACATCGGGAATCAGGGTGGTGGAAGTGAGAAGCATCGATAGGGAGTTGGTGTTGAACAGTTGGGTGTTCGACGGGCGCATTTTGAAGTTCTCCTTTCAACTTCCGCGAATCGAAGTGGCCGATGAAAATTGCCTGATCTTCGTCGAGGATACGGTCGGGTGCATCTTGAAAGAAAAATTCAAAACCGACCGGTTTTAGATGTGATACGTCAGTTGTCAATGTCGCGCGTGCCAAAAATATCTTCTGTTTGTAAGGGAAAATAAAGATAATTCATGAGTTAAGACGGTCGTTTGGTTTACTATATCAGTTACTGGTTCTTGCACCAATTTGTTTTGCACCACTTATATACAGGGTGTCACTTAAATGATGACTTTAATTTCAGGGAGTGATTCCTTGTCATACTTTATGAGGGAAAGTTCATATCGTTTGATCCATTTCCGATTGCAACATGGTCATTTCTATGAGTGGAACAAAGAAAGATTATTGAAATGACAGCTGTCAGAGTGAAAAGTTGCAATGACACAAATGTGATTCATAAATGTCAAGTGTCTAATGGAAGTTGTCTTTATCGCACCCATAGCTTATATAACCATATACCTATTACTACTATACTGCTAACTCCCTATCTATTCCATGAGAGAAAATCGTAGCAATTAAAGAGAGAGATCCGACCCTCTATGGTGTGCTTAGTCGTTTATACGCAAGCGCGTTAATTTTAAAAGGACCAATAGCGAGTAGCTGAGGCCTAAAAAGAAAAGAATGAAAATAATACTTGAAATCGTGGTTAAATTCGGTAACCTGCCATATTTACACAGGCAAGTCAAAGTCGATTTTAAAAATATATCAAAAAATATACCAAAATATAAGCTAGCACGTTTCTGACGTTTCATTTGCTGTGTCAAAAGTAGCCAATCAAGAAATCTTTCACTTGAGCATGCGCATAAATAAGCAGGCACACCACAGTATAATGTTTGCTACGGTTTTTGACTATTATTAGCGGTATAGTAGTTATAGGTATATGGGTTTTAGATGTGATACGTCAGTTGTCAATGTCGCGCGTGCCAAAAATATCTTCTGTTTGTAAGGAAAAATAAAGATAATTCATGAGTTAAGACGGTCGTTTGGTTTACTATAGCAGTTACTGGTTCTTGCACCAACGTAGTTTAATGTTAAAACTCGAGTTAAATTCAATTTTTGTGTTGCACCACTTATACAGGGTGTCACTTAAATGATGACTTTAATTTCAGGGAGTGATTCCTTGTCATACTTTATGAAGAAAAGTTCATATCGTTTGATCCATTTCCGATTGCAACATGGTCATTTCTATGAGTGGAGCAAAGAAAGATTAATAAAATAACAGTTGTCAGAGTGAAAAGTTGCAATGACAAGTGACAACCAGTATAAACTAAAGTTAATTTTTTAATCTTCGCTTAAGATTAAACTGTAAATTTTGATGGTTTTTATGAATAGTTTAAACGAAAATAGACTTTACTGTAGTATTCAACCAGTTAATTAGTCAGAAAATTAGCAATAAAATATCTTTTTGTAGTATGGTCGGGGGTAGATTTTCTAATAAGGCTGTTTCTGTATGGAAGTTGACCATCATAAAACTACTTTTGTGTCCCTATAATGGCTGTTTGAAATAATTTTCGAAATTTTAGCTTTTTATCTTGATAAAATTGAAAAATGTTTGGAACATAACTTGCTAATTTTGATGTCAGGATTCCGAATTTTCAATAAAATATAGAGGTTTCTATTTACATTTTTAAAGTTACCCGCCACTCCTCCCTTGAGGGGTAGGGAGCGGTTTAATTCAGGATCTCCAACATTTCCAAATCATCATCAAAAGTATCTTCATAATCTATGTTAATTCAATTTCCATCACAAGTAAATAATATCTGATGATTAATAATATACAATAAACACAAAATAAACAATTAATCTCGATAATCTTAAAAATGTAATTTTCTTAGAATACTGAGAATACAGAACTTAGAACCTAAATTATCAGTTCTGTGGTATTTTTTTTTCTCAATGACAACTAATTTCTAACTAACATTAAATATTCCAAATAAAAACCCCAAAAAGTTATAGATTAACTAAAATCTTCACTTTTATAAATGGTGCAACGTTAATGAACTTAAGCGAAGTTTAAAATTAACTGCTAGTTAATTAACTTTCGTTTAGTTCGATTTTGTTGCAAGACCCCGTTAGATATTGGATGATGGTAATCGGGGGACTTTATATTGCGTATAATCATATTCAGAAATGTCCAGGTGTAAAAATCGTTGCCTAGCAACGCGTTGATACAATCATTTGTGATGGTTTGTTTGTCACAGAGGCGAATTTTGCCAAAGTAGATTATTACCTATATTTTTGCTTTCTAATTATTTGGAAATGACGGAGCCATCAGAAAACGAGTTATTCGAAGGTACGTGTAAAAGCAAATAATTTCGCTAAAAAAATAATTTCTACGATTTTTTTTTTAGTTATAAAAGACTGCTTAGAGAAGGACGGTACGCTGGGTAAAGTGAATGGCGAAATTAGGGCAGCTGTTATGTCGATTTTGAACAGGGATTTCGAGAAAAACGATCCACCGCAAGTGCCCGAAGAAACGAAACTATTGAACGAATTGATTAGGGAATATTTAACTTGGAACGGTTACCTCTATTCCGAACAACTGCTGTCTGCCGGTAAAAATATCAAAAAACTTTGCGAAATTCGTAGTTAATGTAAATTTTATAAAATTTTAGAATCCGGCCAAAAGAACGAAAGACTAAGCAGGGACGTACTGACGACGAAATTAGGCGTGATTGACGATGCCAAAACAGCCAAGATACCATTATTATATTATATTGTATCGGCTTTTGAAAATTCACGTTGAATCTATACAATAAACGTAGTTATTTATCAGTCGTTTTCGGTGTTATTTTCCCTCGATTTTTTTAACCTGTACATTTCAGTTTGTTTGGTAGCGATGAATTTCAACGATACATATCCGGATATTAGCTGGATGCAGAGCATGGAAAACATAACGCTCTGTACGGTTATTTCTAATATGTACATATCGAAGTAAGGATTGAACAGCAGGAATCCCTGCAGTGGAAATTGGAGTAGAATGGAAAGCATCCAAAAGCTGGCCAATTCTGGTATCTGAAATACTAATTTTGTTGCATTTTTTACATTAAATTTAGTAATTAATACCTTATCTTTGAGGTTGCCTTCGTAACCTAAATACAGTCTTAACAGTTCCAAGAAGAAAATCGTACAAATTACCGTAACAGTAATGTATTTGTAGAGTTCATCGTAAGAAGAATACTGCAATAAATAATTAATATTACCAAAGAAATTGTTTATTTAAACATTTACTCACATTTTTATCCAAAAATAGCAGAATCATAACAATCCAAACGGGTATAAACACGACATTAAAATACAAAGCCATCTGCAAAGGTAGATTAGAGAGGACTCTCCTTTCTGCAAAATTTTAATATCAAACAAATAAATTTATAAACTACCAATTTACCTATTGGATCAACTTCGACAGGAAGACCGGGGAATACATTTTGCGCTAAATTCGCCACTCTTCCTTTAACGTCCATGTTTCAAGTTTTGTTTTGGTTTTTGTTGCCATGGTAATTTTAACCACAATAAAACATTTACCTTCTTAATCCTCAATCAGTTTACTGCTAACGAGTAATATTTGGTTAAGTAAATCAAAATTTAACTATAATCAAACTAACGTTCATTATTAAGCAGACATCATTGATACATTTATCTGATTCATGATTGATTATCAGATAGGGAAGATAAGAGAACACAATCAAATTTTTTAAGTTACTAATAACAATAAAATTCCGAGTCGTTGTGAATTATGTATTCACAGTAAGTATTCTTGCATATTTCACGTTATTTAATCGATTTACTAGTCGTTTTTAGAGCAAAAACCCATCTGGAGTCAGTGACTGAAAACGCAAATATTGTTGAAGATATCGAAAACTTCGTGCGAACGTGGAATTTTGAATCGGAATACGATTTGAGTTTAATAAACGAGGACGTAACGAATATAATTAATCAAATATTCATACAATTTTTATTGAACAAAAACGACGATGAAATACAGGAATCGATACATTGGTAATGCTCCAATATTTCTCATTATATCAAGTAAACAGTGTAAATATTTTAGCGTAATTCATAACTTCGTCTGGGAACCCCTAAGACCGATTTTACGAGCGAAATATGGCAAAGAAGACGGGGAAATATTCGAAAAGAGTAAAATATTTTGGCGAAATAAAAAATTGCCGAAGGAATTAGATGGTAAATCCTACTGTTGTGTACCTTACACAGCTGCTGTGAGTAATTAGAAATTAATTCACATTTAATTTAAAATATATTTAGGTTGTAGAACTCTCCATGTTGGATACCTACAATAGCCCGTTGGAGAAATTAAACTGTCTTTGTGTAACTTATGATATAATTTTTGCAGAATTAAAAACTGCTTTAATAAACGTTATATCAAAATATTCAGGTGAGTTTTAAAATCATTCAAATAAATTGTTGTATAAATTATTTCCAGAAAACGAACTGGAAATACCGATAATTAATAATGAAGACGTAACTCCTATTCTGACTTTAGTAGTGTTAAAATCCAAGTTACAATACCCTCTAAGCAGTTTAGAGTACATAAAAATATTCGGAAAATACTGGTTAAAAGACCATAAACGGTAAAAAGAATTAAATTGGTTTATAATATAAATTAATCGAACTATTTATTTCTCTAGCTATATCCTGCAAACATTTGAAACAGTCATAACAAATCTTTTGAAGAATGATTATGATTTTCTTCAAGATGATATCGAACTTACAGATATTGACTATTGTGAAGCCATTACTAAAATTACTTTGCAAGAAAATGCGAACCATACGCAACAATCTACTCGAAAACCAGATCTTCGAGAAGAAGTTTTAAATAGAGTATTAAAGCTAATTTTCACCTCTACAACGTCCAATATGGATTGAATTATAAAATGAATCTTACTATATGGTAATTAAAGTTCCATGTACACTTTTTGAACTATTCTGAAGGAAATCGAAGAACTGCAAGAAAGTCAACAGATGCTATATTCATCGTTTTATTGACTTGTTCCTTGTGAAGTTTAGTTTTTTAATTTGAATGCCGTTTTGTTAGAGTGGTGTTGCCGGTTTTTATAAAAATATATGACTAATAATTAAAACTAAATGCATTTAAATTAAAAGAATATTTAGAACATTGTATTGCAATAAAACGAGTACGAATTTTTGTCCACATATCCACAATAAACTTTTTAAAACTGTTTGTTCTTAATTTAACGGCATAAATTAATTATTTTATTATAAACAAATTTAAAATTACAATACCAAAATAACCTCACAAATTCGTCTTTTTAATCACTTCCATAATATCTAGTTTCTTCTTGTTGAATGCTAAGTTGAGCCTCAACTGCTTGGACTATTCGGTCAGACCAAATAAATATTTATGACAGTTATGACATTTGTAGTTTCGTATCTGTCGAAATGTGGTCTTTTACTGTTATACACTTACATTATAACGAGCAGATAAAACGCCGAGCAGATAAAAAACCAATTATAAATTTGAAAATAAAAGTAGACATTTCTTTATTGATGATAGCATTATTATAATTTTACATTATTATTTATTATAGTTTTCATTTTATTGCACTAATAATTATTCAATGTAAATATCTTCCACAGGATAAGCAGTCTCGATAAACTTTTGGTAGAACCTTTGAAAGGCACGACTGAAACGGCAAATAACAAACGAAATTAAAAAAAAATACCAGCGCAAATATCGATATAAAAAAAACATCAATAATAAGGTATGATCTTTTTTCCATCTTCGTTTCACCTATGATTAATGTCAAATGACGTCATGATTGATTCCTGATGGAATTGATGTATGTGAATATAGGAACAAATTGCTGGATGGTTGGAAATTTTGACGTTGACGTTGACATTGACAATTTGAATTTGAATTTTTAAATGTGAGGGAAATTATAAAAAATGGAGTTTTATTTGATTGCAAAAAATATGTTATATTCATCCGATTCATCATCAGAACCTGAAACTGAAGAGTCCTCAAATAACAGTGTCCGTGATGAGTTATTGGAACTATTTTTATTAAACAAAGAAATCAATAAAACTCATGCAATAGCAGATTTCGGAATCCATTGCAAATTGCAAAACCAGCAAAACAAATAAAAAAATTGAATGCACGTTGAATGCACAACTTCATCATGGAACATCAGATCATAACCGAAACCGATCATGGAATGAAACATATGGGTTATAATTTATCTGTCAACCAGATCCATCCTCTTCAAAATCCGATTAATCAGATGACTACTAATCGCTGTTTCATCGATGAGAAAAAGATTGTTGACAGATGACAAACGTTGAAAAAATCGCTGAATAAATGAACAGTTTGATGACATCGGTTGTTCAACCGCTGAATAAAAGATTACCTTTATACTTACCCAACAGCTTCAGCAACGGGTCTAGTCGAATCGTGTCCTCTAAAGATATGACAAGCGAACCTTTGCAACGTCGGATGTTTCGTTATGAAGCCTAAATAGCGATGATCGCGCGGATGAAACGCGCAAAAAGAAACATTCTTCAGCGAATAGAAATAGTCTATGCAAGGCTCGTTTTGCTAAAACATTAAATACAACAATCGTTGGATGTACTTAAGACCGACAGCATTATTCATAGTTGCCTCCTTAAAATGATGTTAAAACACCACTACTTCATGTAGTACACATCTACTACACCATTTCCAACTGTATTTCAGAAAGTGTCAGGTTCATTTAAGGATGCGTCAATTGAATTTCAGAATTGTCACTTATATTTCGGAAAGTATCAATTGTATTTCAGAATAATAAATTTGATTTCAGAAACTATCAGTTGTATTTCAGAATAGTCAAATTCATTTCAGTAATCATCATTTGTATTTCGGTATTCTTACATATCTATAGTTTTTCAATCTTCAATCTCAATTTCAAAAAAAAATTATAAAGGTATCAGTTCCAGAAGAATAATTTCGATTTTAGAAAAAAAAATTCAATTCGGAGAGAAGTTGTTTCAAGTCCGAAAAAATAATATAAATTGTGGAGTGGACTGAGTTTTTCTTCTTCGTTAATAATTGTAATAATAATTGTCATATGATTTCTGCATTCCAAATGGGACTCTGAAATCCTTTTGACGGTTTCCGAAACACAAAAATGATAATTTCTTAAATACAATTGACTATTCTGAAATTCAATTGATGATTTCTGAAATCCAATTGACTATTTTGAAATACAACAGATACTTTCCGAAATATAAGTGACTATTCTTAAATTCAATTGACGCTTTCTGAAATATAACTGAAAAAGGTGTAGTTAGTGTCCATTAACATCATACTAAAAAGTTACTAACGTTTCCTATTCATAGTCGCATATTTCTTTCCCATTAGTTAAAATAATGCTAGCAGAAAAATGAATGTGGCAATAACGGAATTAACTTAAAATTTTATTTTATATTGGAGATTTTGATTATGTTATTGACGTTATTGTGTAAGACGAACGTGCTGTTGGATTGATTGGATTTATTGGATTGATTGGAATTGAATGGGTGGTGGGAAAAAGGATAAAATTCCAGTGAACCTTATTTTTGGGAAAACAAAAATCTTTTTACGGCGAAACCCGTTAGTTAATAAAAATCATGATTATTAGCCAATTATACACTTTGACCAAGTACGTTTGATAACAAAGTTTGAACGATTTATACCTCCTTGGTAACTAGATATTGGTATTTAAAAGTATAACAATAATATCCTTTTTCCCTTCAAAACGCAAAAAATTGTTAAAAAACCCAAAAACTGTTTTTTTTCAACATCGTTGCCAGTCTTTTTGAAGTATTGGGACTACCAGCTTTTGAAATAAAGTATATCGGTTTTAGTTAGCCCTTAGATATTTATGGAAAGGTGCATGTAAGAACCTGAAGAAGGAAATGTATTAATACGAAATCCACTTGAAATTCAAATATTAGCAACAATGAGATACTTAGCAAAAGGGTAGTAAAAAAACACAGTAAAAACGCAAGAAAGACTCAGTGAACGCTCAATTTCACACACTAGACGTTTGTTGAATGTTTTAAATTTTGTTTAAAAGTAACTTAAACACCTCTTGTAACGCCACTAAGAAAATTAGTGGCTACTAACAAAAACAACATCTTAGTATCCACTAAATCGAACTATAAATACGATTCTTTTTAGTGTGATATTAGTAGAGTGTTAGTAGCCAATAAATACGACTATGAATAAGACTGCGAGTGTTTAAAAGAGACTGAAATGCTTACGTTTCTTTTTCTCCTATCTACCATCCGAAGGCCTTGATCTGAAACTTCCAGGGTGCACGGATGCAGTTCCGGTTCGTTTCCTGAGTTCCCGATGACTCTTCGAACAGCTTGACATACCACAGATGTACCTTTATGGGCTAGCGTTTCCACAGATCCAATATACCCTAGAAATTACTTATTAATAATACAAATTATTGCAGTAATTTGTAGATATTCACCTAAAAGATAACGTTCTCTACGGCCATGCTCCATCGACGAATCCCAATCACTATAATCACAGTCCACTGCATAAGCAGAAGGGAATATTCCCAATCTACCTGTCCTTAAGTTAATCCCTACAACAAAAAAAAGCCAACATTATAATCTACACAAACCGGCAAATTTAAAGGAACAGATTAAAAATGTAATATATTTCTATATTTTATTGTCTTATAGTCTATATCTAGATACCTATAATTAATGTCATAATTAAAGTTTTTAATGTCAAAATGTCAAATGTGGGCGTTTTCTGTTGTCAAAACTTCAAAAGTTTGTTTTGTGTCTTACATTTCAAACGCGTGTTACAAAGATAACATTAAATTGTTATTAATTAATCAATTTAATTCGTTTGGATTTGTTGCTATATGGTTTATTTTTTTTATTTGTTATCGTCATTTTTTTTTGTATTGCAAAGAGCAGTTAATAATGGGTGACTTAATACCGACTAATATTGACAAAAATGAATTTAATCATTGAAATAAGTTCAAAATGTACAATAAAGTTATTCTGTTTAAAACTAGTATTTTATTTTAAATCCGACATCTTCGACGTGCTCTCTTCTTCAACAGGTTGTACATGATAAATTTTTGTAAAAAGTGCCCCAACTACTTCACCTAACTTTGTGTTAAGAGATTATGTAAGAAATATTAACAATATGTTAACAATCATAGAGAAAATAATTGGATTTTAAATATGTTCCTTTAAATACAAGGTGTGTCACGACGAGCTTAAACTATTCAATTTTAATAAAATTTGGTATACACATGTTATGCAATAAGACGAACCTCTTAAAAATATTTTGACAGTGGTACCACTTCCGGTTGTACCGGAAGTAGGCATCAACTATGTTATTTTAAATAGAACACCCTGTATATTAATATATTTTCGAAATCTACATAAAATTTCAGTATACTTTGTCTAAAACACTTTTTTCAAAAATGCATACTTTTTGAGTTAAAAATTTTTTTTTTGAAAAATTTGACCGATGCTGGCCTGTATAAATTATTTTTTTACAGGGATCCCCATAAAGATATGGAAGCGGTTTCTGTAGGGTGGCTACTAGCAAGGTAAAAGGTATTTGGACCCGTGTTGAAAAACTTTTTATTTTATACAGGGTGTGTATTAAAATTGTATAAGTTCGAACATCGAAAATATCAAATTTCTTCTTGTTTTTTTAAATGGAACCACCCATTATTTTCTATTTTAATGAAATCAGCAGTCAAAAATAAGGGAAGTTCACGTTTACTTCCCTATACCTAAACCTAATAGTTTTGAAGATATTAAATATTTTACATAAAACTTACATTTTTGCCTAATTCTCAATTAAATAGGTCTTAAAAGTTGGCCATGTAAATTATTCTTAATTAATTGATTATTAATTTTAGTACTTGTAGGATATTACACGGCCAACTTGTAAAACCGAGTTATTTAAGAATAAGACAGAAAAGTAAGTTTTGAGTAAAATTTTTAATATCTTCAAAATTATTAGGTTAAGGTATAGGGAAGTAAATGTGAACTTCTCGCATTTTTGACCGCTGATTTCATTAAAATTGAAAAAAATGGGTGGTTCCATTTAAAAAATTTAAGAAATTTGATGTTTTTGATGTTCAAATTTGTACAATTTTTATACACACCCTGTATAAAATAAAAAGTTTTTTTTAACACAGGTGCAAATATCTTTTACCTTGCTAGTAGCTACCCTACAGAAACCGTTTCAATATCTTTAAGGGGATCCCTGTAAAAAAATAATTTACACAGGCCTGCATTTTTCAAAAAAAAATTTTTTAACTCAAAATGTATGCATTTTTGAAAAAAGTGTTTTAGACAAAAGTATCCTGAAATTTTATGTAGATTCCGAAAATATATTAATATACAGGGTGTTCCATTTGAAATAACATAGTTGATGCCTACTTCCGGTACAACCGGAAGTGGTACGACTGTCAAAATATTTTTAAGAGGTTCGTCTTATTGCATAACATGTGTATACCAAATTTTATTAAAATCGGATAAGTAGTTTCCATAGACCTAATAACTATGGACGCGATTTAGACAAAGAGGTAGTGTTGTCGATGAATGAGAGAGATGCAGCTAGTTTGGGCATATGGCAATGAGAGATTGGACAATGCATTAGCCAATAGTAAGAAAGCAAAAGACCACGTGAGTTACGTTTTCAGAAATGCAAGGTAGCTGGGGTAGAGGAGGGTAGATTATGGTAGAATAGGGTTGAGGATTTATTATTTTTTTACTGAGCAAAATGCATTTTTCAGCTGAGCCTAAATTCCCACGCATTTGCAAATATAGTTCTTATTTTGTATTGTTAATTGGAACCTCCTACCTATTAGCCAGTACAGATTTCGCAATTTAAGACCTAGATGCTTTCTCTTGTAAAAAATATGTTTCTTCCAGGTCATTCTTCTGTCCAAGTGGATACCAAGATAAAAACAATATTTAAATATTAAGCGTATAAATAATTTAACAGATTAATCGCCTTTTTCCACACACCCTGTATATATTTTATATATTTTTTGGTCCCGCCTACTTTTAGCCCAAACTAGCTCCATCTCTCACGGACCTCTCTCTCTACCATTGAGAACGCTGAATAACCTCAAAATACCGATAGTCCCGTGTCCATACTTAATAGGTCTATGGTAGTTTCCAATATACAGATAGTTTAAGCTCGTCGTGACACACCCTGTATGCCGGTGTGTTTAATTAATTTAATTAAATAAAACATCGTCTTCAAAACATTCACCTTCACACCAAAGATCATCGGCCTCTTTCTGTACGTAAATCGGATCACCGATTTCGATATCGATCTCGTCTTCGTGTCTCGGAATGAATTTGTGAAGTGCCCTGTGCGTCGCTTCGAGCATATCGACGTCGTTGTAAACGACGCCTCCTATAATCGACGGCGAAGCCCCCAATATGGGGGACATCGATTTGGGCCCGTCGGTGCCGGTGGGTGAATGGGCAGTGCTGTGACCACTATCGGCGTCTGTTAGTAACCTAAACACATAATAAAGAGAATATGTATAGCTGGAGGAATAAGATGTAGGTGGAGAGTTGAGCAGTTTTACATGCAGGCCCAGGACACGCGGGTTTGTAGAATAATACGGTTACCTCACTTTTGCAGGCAAAAGAGGGGAGAATACGTCACCGGTATGCTAGAGTCTGCTGACTGATACGAGTTTTAATAGTTTTCTCCACATTTTGAATTAAACTTATCTAAATATTATAATATATTTCTTTATTATACAGTAATTTATAAAAATTGATTTTATTTATTTCTATTAGGGTGTGTAAATAATTAAAATGCATTGTAAATAGAGAAAAATGCTTAATAATTATTTTAATTATAATTTTAATAAAATCAAAATTTTAATAAAATTTGCGTTAAAAAAATACAAATGCTCGGTAACTATTTTAAACAACCCTTCTAGCCCTTCTACCCCACCCTACCCCCTCCTACCCTTCGCTGCCTCCATCTACACTCTGCTACCCCCTCCTCCTCTACTCGACCCCCTTTTACCTCTTCTACCCTCCGCTAACCTACCCTCCGCCACCCCAACCTACCCCCTCCTACCCTAATGTACCCCTTTTACTCTGCACTACACCTACTTACCCCCTTCTACCGTATCATTAGCTACCCCTTCCACTTTCCACTACTTCTACTCTCCCCTTATTTAATTAAACCCTCTTCAATAGTACAGTACACCTATTTGTTATTTAGCCCAATACTATGTTATTATTATATTATTTAATTGAGCAATTATTAAATTACTGAGCTTCTTTTATTTTAATCGATCATTTATTTTTCATCATGCATTAATTTAGATAAATTATTTGGAAACTAACTTTAATAATTAATAAAATATAGGTATAAAAAAATAAATGTTCATCTATAATCGACATATATAATTTATGTCTTATAATACTGCCTCCTTTTAAATTTTAATATATTTATGGAAAATATACTTTTATTAGTTATTATTCCTGTCCATTGTCTCAATTTTTATAATATTTTACCCTAGAAATATTATTAAAAACATTATTTTCAATACACTTGAGATGCTCGGAATTTGCCACTCGAATTCTTGTGACGTCACGAGAGGCCGTACGTGATTGGCTAAAAAGTTACGAGACAACCGTATTATTCTACAAACCGTGGGCCCAGGACAGCCTTATGAAAAATTTTAGACGTTCATTTAGTTTCGGCACTATTGATAGATGGCGCAACAGTAGTTTATTTCAGGCCAGTGCAAGCAACCCGCTTAACGCCGTATTTCAAAAACAATAATGGCGACTTGTATTGATTGGCATCGATTCTGCATATTTTCTCTTGTAGTGCAAGATAAAGTTAAAACCGAAAAGTTTTGTTTTTTTCATTTATTTCGTTTGTTTTCGAGTGAATTTAAAGGGCATTGTTATTGCCTGTAAGTTGTATAAGTTTTGTGTATAGTAGTGTTAGTGAATTGTTAGTGAGGAATTGTGTAAAGTTAAAGTTAAATCTTTCGTTCTATTGCTTGTTTTTATAGCGCGTAATGAATTTTTCTGGGTCCGCCATAATATTTCAGTTTATTTAGCGATTTTTTTTAAATTTAATGAATTTTGACATTTTTTTCAATATATTTTTAAGTAGAAGTGTTTGTGTTTAGTTATTTAATGAGAGTAGTTACTTTTTATATTATCCAATTTATTGTAAAACTTGTACAATTTATTTTACTATCTATATCAAAATTTTATACATTTTATAATTATGTAACAAATTGTACAAGTTCTACAAGAAATTGGATAATATTAAAAGTCAGATAAAAATCGAATAAAAAACCTATATTACTAATTTTAGTGTAGAGTTCTACATGATATCCCCTTTTACTAGGCAACACTCATTAATTTAGTACGGCTACTATTCTCAGAGTGCGCTCTACAACGTCTACGAGATTCTCATGGAGATGTCCCTTCTTGTTTATGTACAGGTCGTACGAACAGATCCGCTGCAAGCATTAGAATTAGAATCTCAATCAATACTATAAGATAGTAAAGAACAGAAACTTGTTTATCGGTTGCCGACCGATATTAGAATTCGTCAATTCGCTTCGCTTCGTCCACTAGCGAATAGCGGGGATAGCGGGCGTGATTATTTTGTATGCTCTCTTTATTCCTTACATAGCAAAAGTTCAATTAGCTATCTCATAATTCTCATTGTATGCTTGCAGCGGATCAGTTCGTACGACCTGTATATTCTGTGGTCTACGAGATTCTCACGGAAATGTCCCTTCTTGTTTATGTATATTCTGTGGTCTTACCTGTCTGATTCCGGCGAATCATCCCAAAGATGTCCGCATTTTAATACTAGAATTGAGCTTGGTCCGCTGTTGTTGCCGCCTAATTCGTCGGCTAGAGACACTTCTCTGTTCAACTGGTGGAATTGAGCGTTGTACATTGTCACCACAGAAGCTGCGGATGTTAAAAAGTTAATGAAAACATTCTGGTGAAATCATAGACCTATTAAGTATGGACGCGGGACTATCGGTATTTTGAGGTTATTCAGCGTTCCCAATGATAGAGAGAGAGGTCCGTGAGAGATGGAGCTAGTTTGGGCTAAAAGTAGGCGGGACCAAAAAAAATATAAAATATATACAGGGTGTGTGGAAAAAGGCGATTAATCTGTTAAATTATTTATACGCTTAATATTTAAATATTGTTTTTATCTTGGTATCCACTTGGACAGAAGAATGACTTGGAAGAAACATATTTTTTACAAGAGAAAGCATCTAGGTCTTAAATTGCGAAATCTGTACTGGTTAATAGCTAGGAGGTTCCAATTAACAATACAAAATAAGAACTGTATTTTCAAATGCGTGGGAATTTAGGCTCAGCTGAAAAATGCATTTTGCTCAGTAAAAAAATAATAAATCCTCAACCCTATTCTACCATAATCTACCCTCCTCTACCCCAGCTACCTTGCATTACTGAAAACGTAACTCACGTGGTCTTTTGCTTTCTTACTATTGGCTAATGCATTGTCCAATCTCTCATTGCCATATGCCCAAACTAGCTGCATCTCTCTCATTCATCGACAACACTACCTCTTTGTCTAAACCGCGTCCATAGTTAATAGGTCTATGGTTGCAAATAAAGTTTCTTACGTTTTTTGTTTTTCGGGATTTCTGGAAGTCTCCGCCGTTTGCGCTCGCCCGACCAAGGCGCGGACGTCGAGGCGCCGCTCGACGTCGTCGTCGATGGGGTGCTGTCTTTTTTGCTGCCGAAAGATGGCGGGCCGCTGGTGTTGTCCAAGCCATTTTCCGGTATATCACAGTAGTTGTCTAAATCACTTTTGGAAGACGTCGGGGAGTCTTCGTCCACGATGACATCGTGCACAAGGCTGCAAGGAAATATTGGTTATCTAATATATGTTAACTCTATATGGACGATTCTACATTGAGGACCAAAAGTCCGTCGCTCCTCCTTTAACTTTTGAATGGTAAGAGCTTTTGTCGCGCAATTTGGGGTGTTTATATTCGAGTAAAAATACTATTTTTTGACGTAAAAATGACAGTTAGGCGCCATTTTGAATCTTTTTTTCTTATGGAAAGGGGGGTCAAGTGACAACCCGGTTTAAAGGTAATTTTATTCTTAAGTCAACCCCCAAATTTGAAAACATTTGAATAACGCGTATTCACGTGAAGGCCAATTTAGTTTTAACTCCCGGGCATATTAATACATTTAGAAGAATTAATTCTGAACGTACTATAAAATGTGTCAATTAATTGTTGCTATAGTTTCTTGACATTAACATTTATTAGTCAAATTTAAAGTTGATGAAAGTGACATAATGGCTTGTCCTTTAAAAGAAAAAACTGTCACTTTCATCAACTTTAAATTTGACAAATAAATGTCAGAGTCAAGAAACCATAGCAACAATTAATTGACACATTTTATAGTACGTTTAGAATTAATTCTTAAATGTATTAATATCATAGACCTATTAAATCTAGGTCTAAGTTAATAGGTCAATGATTAATATGCCCGGGGGTTAAAACTAAATTGGCCTTCACGTGAATGCACGTTATTCAAATGTTTTCAAATTTGGGGGTTTGACTTAAGTCAAACTATGTTTTCAAATTTGACTTAAGAATAAAATTACCTTTAAAACGAGGTGTCATTTGACCCCCTTTCCATAAGAAAAAAAAGATTCAAAATGACGCCTAACTGTCATTTTGAAAGTTTCAGCTGTCATTTTTACGTCAAAAAATAGAATTTTTACTCCAATATAAACACTCCAAATTGTGCGATAAAATCTCTTACCATTCAAAAGTTAAAGGGGGGGTGACGGACTTTTGGTCCTCACTGTATATCAATGAATGGAGAGGAGTACGACTTTTTTTATATTTTTTTATAAAACTACGTATTCTTATGAAGTCATTGGTGAAATTTTTAATTTTTTTCGTTTTATATTAAGGCCACAATTAATTGATAAAATTTGAAATACGTCACAAGTCATTAACCAATCACATTAAGAATTGGTGGTAAAAATCGTTTTTTAGCGATGTTGTCAACTCTCTTCTTATTCTGAAAAAAAAGGCGTTTATTTGTATGTCAATACTATAATTTATTTTTTATATTTCTTGATACAGTTATGATTTATTCGAAAAGTATAGAGCGAACTTATAATTGTTAAATAATACAATATGCCTGTATTTATGAATTACTGTAAATATCTAAAAAGATAAATTATTGTTGAGTAAAAATGGTGGTATACATCATCGAATGTATACTTTTGACTTTTTAAACTTGTCAAATAATAAAAACAATAACTTAACCTCCAACTAAATCAACTTATACAATTTTAAAATGTCGCATCCGAAGGTAGTTAAACCTTTTGCTTCATATGCCGTTTGGTGAAAATTCTTCATTGTATTCTAAAAAAGTGTTTACTTTTGGTCCAATAATCTTAAAACAAAGAAATTACTATAACCTAACCCTAGATATGTCATCTGTCATTTAATGTTATATTTCACTTTTGTTCGTTTCTTCTATTCTTCCAAACAGTTTGTTCGAATTCTTATGCCACTAATAATTCAATACAACAAAGCTTTCTTGTGATTAGTTAGTTAGTGACTTTACAAGTCACGGGTCAAAATTTTAAATTTAAAAGGGCTATATTTCCTAAAATGTTGAATATTTTCAGCAACTGAAAACTGATTTGGGTTCTAATGAGCTCAGGAAGAAGAATTAACGTCTTGGTTGAAGAACCTCAGAACCTGGTTCCAGAAATCGTCTCTTGCAACTCCTTAGAGATGCTACAGATAAGGTCAAGATTGCCTTGATGATCGCCAACATTCGTAACGGATAAGCACATCAAGAAGAAGAATGTTAAAACTACAATAAAATTGTTGTAAATTATAAATATTTTACAGAAGTAATTAAAGTATATTGATATCTTTAAAAGAGCTTATTTTTATTGAATTTGTACATCAAAATATATTCCTACAAACAACAGTACAAAGATGATTACAGGTAAAATAAATTATGTTAGAATCTCCAAACTCTGAGATAAATAGGTAAGATAATTATTGAAAGGACAAAAATCTATATTCTTACTGCATCACACTCATTTTCACCATAAATCAATCAACTGTATAATAGAACAAAGAACTCTAATTGAAACTAGGTACAAAAAGAAAACTTCTTAAAAAAAACCGATTAAAAAAATGCATGATTTCTACACTATATACTATCTAATTTACGCAGATATATGCACTACAAAACCAACCCTTACTCACCCTTACTCATCAGCGTCTCTATTTTACTTGCTCTATTACTAACAACAAACAAAACCAATGGTAAATAAACTTACGAATAAAACGGTGCGGTAGTTTTGCCGTGCGATGATACTTTTTCGAAACTATGCCTAAATTCCTCGAACTCCGTATCGGCCATGTTTATTTTTCACCCCCTACGCTATCGATTTTCGCGTTATCCTACGATTCGGCGTGACGCCGTACTAAAGATTTTCCAGATGAAAATGCACCGACCCTTATCCGGTCGAAATACAATTCGAATGTGAGCGCCATCTGTACGCGGAAAATCGATGGAAAATTCGTAGGAAATTCGAAGAGCTTGATCTTCTCATCTGAGTCTTATTGAATTTTTAAATAAGTTCGTAAAATAAGTGTACAAAACATTAAAAATTTTTATACATTTGCAGACAGATTGTAATATTTTGTTTTGTTATTTAAAAAAAAAGAAAAGTTTTCTAATGACGTATTACACGACCCTGGTTTCCTATTAAATTTTTAAGGGTTGGGGTTGCTGGGCAAAGGGGTGAAATATTATGATGATGGGATTTATCTTAAATGATGTTCACTCCTGATGTTCCAAAAATAATTTTTTTTCTACCCGAAAACACTTCTGTTCCCTTTTGAATGTGATACCCGGCCCCTGTATGTGCTTTTTCTATATACAGGGTGTCTCATAAGTTGATACTTTTTTTTAACTGCGTTTATAATAGATCTTTAAATTCTAAGCAACCTTTTCGAATAACATTTTTTTAATATTCTGGAAAATAAGAGAGCATGGTTTTTTTACAATTTTTAATTATTAAAAAGTTAGTTAATACGGCCCTGTTCATTAAAAGTTAAAGGAACTGCTCAAAATTGTCGCCATCAGAATGTCCACCAATTCATTATTTGTATAAAGATGAGCTATTTTCAATTCAACAATCGAAAAATAAATTTTTTGTCAATCAAAGAAATTAGTTTAAAGAAATTTTTAAAAATTTCCATATTTTTTATTTTCCAGAATATTAAAAAAAAATACTTGAAAAAGTTTCTTAGAATTAAAAGCTCTATATGCAGACACCCGATAGACCTTATGAGACACCCTGTATAGACTTAGAAATTACTGGACTGATGATACATCCATATAAAAACTTTTACATACTGTGTGAACAATATGAAACGAATAAATTAATTTTTTCAGTTATTTGTACAATTATTAAGCCCTGAAACAAGTCAATTTTTGTTTTTTAAATTAAATTCAGCAATTTCAAATTCTTACCCCTAACTGCCACCCCCTCAGTATGATACTTATCACCCCTAAATTTTCAAATTTTAAAGGTCGGCTTAAGATACCTCACTTGAACGGCAATTTGAATTTCCATTTAGGAGAGCCTTTTTTATTTTGTAAAATAAATCATTTGTACAGAAAAACATTTTTAGTGTAATAAATTTTTAGTGTAATGTTTTGTTCCGAAAATTCGTATCACCCTGTGGAGTATACTAGCAAATGAGACATACAGCAGTTGACATTAGACGGTAGATCCATCTTTTGCCAGCATTTTCTTTTTTGGTTTACTTCATTATCTCTGTTATTAAAGGAGATACGCCGTTTTATAGCGTAACATGTTTTAATAGACTATATTATTCAAAACATTCATTGTTAAATGTTTTCAAGTAGGCTATGGACCATTTTTGACATTTAAAGCGATGTGTCAAAATCAGTTTTTTTCTTTGTAGCTCCTGCAGTTTTTTTGAGATATTTAGCTTAAATTATGTATAGGATATAGGCCGGGTATAGCGTGTAATTTGAGTAGAAGTGGGTCACTTTCAACATTAATTATAATGTAATTTAATAGTTATTATTTAGGGTTTTTATTTTGTACAATAAATCATTTGTACAGAAAATCATTTTTATTTTTTTTTCTCGAAAACGGTCACAGAAACGAAAAAAGTTTAAAAATAAAAAAAGTTTCTAAACAAAACAGACAATTAATTTTGTATTTTAGAATTAACCAGCGGCGAACAGCAAAAAAGTTCGAGGGGAAAAAAGGGTACATGACCCCTGAAAAAGTATCACCCTGTAGAATTCAACAACCATCTGATATACCCAATAATGTGTGCCCTATAAATTTGAGCAAAATATCTCAAAAACTGCAGAGCTCTAAAAAAGAAACAAAAATAATCTTGAAATTTCAACACCCTGTAGACCGGTAATGAAGCGTTTGGGAACCTATGTTTATATGAACTTTTAGTCATAAAATAAGCCAAGAAATCACCCCCTTTCGGATGTACACGATACTTAGGGACACTCTGTATACTGAGGAGGCTGGAGTTAGTGGTGAAAATTTGAGGTTACTAAATTCAATTTAAAAAACAAAAACTGCCATGTTTCAGGGTTTCACAATTCTACAAATACTAACGAAGAAAATTAATTTATTCATTACATATGGTTCACACTGTATAATAAAGGCTACTGTAGGTATTCAATACTCTGTATAAATTGCTATCGACGCTCACAGATATAAATAAAATCGACCGTTTTTGCAGAAAAGTAGGTAGCATAAATTCCTAATGACCCATTAACTTTGATTAATATTGCTCCGACGTCGACAGTTATAAATATCTACGCTATTAATTGCCTTAAAGCGTTTTTATGAATTATTTAATAACTAGATTTGCAATACCCAAAAGTCCCTAAATTCATACTAACTCTTGAACAACTCAAAATCGTACCAAAATATTATAAACTATTGGTAAAATAAACTGCTCCACAAAAGTTAAGGAAGTTCGCAAATTTTGCGATTATTTTAAAAGTTACAGACTTTTTGATCACCAAATTTTCAAATATGCGAAATTAAATGTTTTCTCTCATATCTGAGAGATTTTTTGCCCCTACTTCTACAACTCATACTAAATTTAGCGATCAAAAAACCTGCAACTTTGAAATTAATCTCAATATTTGTAAACTTCCTTAACTTTTGTGGAGCAGTATAGTATGATCAAAGAACCCATCCTAATTTTATATTAAACGCAATTATAATTGGGAAATATTTACGCTCTACTAGGGGTAGGTATGCAAAAAGTAGGTGTACATTAATGAGATTATCGAATTGCCCAAACGAGAAAAGCGATTAAGGGGCTTCCTTAACTTTTGTGGAGCAGTATATTTGTTTAGTTACAATTTAGTTTGAAAATATGAAAATTATTGACTTATTTGGAGCTATGGGCGAAAGTAGTTATGATTAGTTATGATGAATTATCGGAAGACAATTTAAATATGCGAAATTAAACGTTTTCTCTCATATCTGAGTGGATTTTTTGCCCCTACCTCTACAACTCATACTAAATTTGGTGATAAAAAAACCTGTACTTTTAAATTAATCTCAATATTTGTAAATTTCCTTAACTTTTGTGGAGCAGTATAAATAAGCGATTTATAATGTTATCATTCAAGTTGATAAATAACTTATATGTAGGCTTTACAAGCATTTATAAATGTCGATTTTTATGCGGATAACGAACGGGAAAAGTCCCTTCGCACGGTCTGACGCGAAAAATCAAACATTTCAACGAACAAAAGAGCCTTTCAGTGGGAGTATAGTGTAGAAGTAGGTAATATCCATTGCGGAGGAACGTGCACAGATAGAAAGGCCATGGTTTATTCAACGGGGAATTAATATGGGTTTCAATTACATTATCGTCTATCTTTCCAACGGGACGTAGAGTTGAAAAACAAAGAGAAACGAGAGGAATTACTTCGAATTCCTAACTTCGAACAGGGACGAACAAAGGAGATATCGACTACTTGAATAACGCAGATTTATATCTAAAACTTTTTTAACTTTTATAATCTTCAGTGACTCGACTATAACTTTGCAGTATAAACAGATCATTTCCGGTATGTCCTGAGTTATCTCACGGTGTTACATGGTTTTACATAGAAACCAAAATCCTGGACTCAACATTTTTCGCTTCATATTTCTAGTATAAAAATTTGTTTTAGCATTCCCACGGGGATTTTGTCGGTTGTATTCAAGTTGTTAACATATAATTTTATCTAATTATACTAATATATCTTCTTGTAAAATTAAGTTTTTTTAAAAACGCATTTTGGAGAACCCAAAATATATTTCCTGTCTCATTACAATACACAGTGTTGTTAAAAATACTTTGAATAATGTATTTAAATACAAATACAAATACTTTTAAAAACATATATTTGACTTGTATTTAAATACTAGAATTGATGATGTATTTAATTACAAATACAAATATTTTGTTCACGTATTTAATGTTTTAAATACATTTAAATTTCTTAGTGTTAAAATAATATTTCACCTGGATTAAGTTGAAAATTGTTAAAAAAAACAATTTACAAAATGTTTGTTTTCAGGGGAAATATAATTTAAGTGAGCGTTCTTAACATTGCTTACGAAAATGTTTAAACTTTAAATACAAGTATGTATTTTAAATTTTGGACAAAAATGTATTTTAAATACATTTTAAATACAAATGAAGCCTGTGTATTTAACAACTTATTTAAATACGTTAAAAGTATTTAAATACATTTTTAAATACTTAAGGGCGCCACTTCAAGGTATTTTTAGATTGGGAAAACATTAGGTTCAGTAATTCCCAGTAAGATTCTAATTTGGCTTCATCAATTGATTTGAATCTTTCTTATACCTAATATGGAGACTACAAGCAACGAAATCTCCTATTTTTAATCTCTACTACTTCATTACATATTTAAGAAAATTGCAATCAAAAACTGCCATTTATTTGCAATGCTATTTAAATGGCAAAACGTAATTCTAATAAGACTCGAGTTTCCTCGAACGGATGTTTGAATAATTTTAGTAGGATGAAGAATATTTATTACAGAACGATATGTCTCCTAGTTTATATTGATCCACAGGCTGTATTAAATTGAAAAAAACTAATTAAAGTATTTTAGAAAATGATGATAGATTTCTGTAAATTATGGTGTCGCCTGACATAAATGTCAAATCACAGAACATTTTTTTAAATTTGACTAGTGACAGCGGTACCAAAAGTTTCCGTTTTTCAGATATTTTTGGATAATTTGCACTTTTTCAAGGGCATGTAATATGAAATAAGGTATTTCTAGTACACCGGAATACTTTTAGAGCACTTTAATTAGTATTTTTAAAACCCTACTTTTATCATTTCAAATTGCAGGGAAGAGAATTGAATTTAAAATATTCTGAAAAGGATTTCTTACTTTACTCTCTTGTACGTTTGATTTTATATCAAGTAATAAAACACGGAACATCTACTAGCAAGTTAAATTAATCTCATCCCATCTATTATGGAAAAATTTTACCAAAAATAGTTCTAAGAAGAATTATGAATTCGAGAACGTGCTTCGGCGGCCTTAACAACACTGACAATACATTACATCGATGCATTTTCGTTATGGTCTTACCTCAAGCGTAAAATTAACGCCCTGTATAACAAAAATTATGCAACTCAAAGGAACGCTATATAGAAAATCGCCACTCCATCAAGCAACAAGTCCGTTCTATTAATAGCATTCTATTCATCCGGTTGACAAATCGTTTTTCCGACCCGCTTTCCGAAATACAAAACGCTCAGTCAACTAATCCGTGTACGATACGATATTAGATTATTAAACTATCAAAAGCTCCAGACTCGGTTCGTCCCGTAGACAATAGACGAGCAAATTATAAAGGGGGCCTTTTAGGAAACGGCGTTCTAATCTCGTCTCGGGAATCCCATTCAATCGGGAAATCTGCACCCGAGTTTTTCGCCTAAACGAATTACCCAATCGCTACTGAATATTCCTCGAATGTTCCCGTGGAATCGAGTCTTTGCGACGAAGCTTCGATTCGAATATTTTTATCGATAATAGTGCAGTTGGGAAGCAGGAAAATTCACAAGTTATGGATTCTTTAACGGAAGAAATTTAATGCACGAAAACTTCTTATGACATTTGAGGCGTTGAGAGCCAAAGTGGGCTATTCTCAAAAATAGTGGTTTGAGAAAATAGAGATTCAATATTTACATATTATTAACAGGGCGCAATCAGTGATACCAGTTGAAGAATTTTGTTAGGTTTTCTTGGAAAGTATAGAATAAAAGAAGGCTTATTTTTTGGTTTAATTATTTTTTAATAAATTAGGGGCCACTGTAGCATGGAGTAAATTAAGAAATTTTAAAATAAGACAAGTCTATAACAACGGTAATATAGAAGTAATATACAGTGCATTTCTTTAATGTCCTCCCCCCTTTTATTTTTTGAACGGATCAACTTAGAAAATTGAAATTTGGGATAATGAAACTAATACATGATTACTATATTTTGGAGTAAAATTGGCAGATGAAAATTTCAAGATGGCGACTGGGCGCCATCTTGAGTAATAAATTTAAATGGAAAGGGGGGATCTTGTGATACATCATTTTGAAGCTCCTGACAAATTTTGTACAACCCTGGAATATAAAGTCAATATCTGCACCCATTACAAAATGACGGAACATTTAATAATTACCTGAATACAAACAAATTAATATTAATTTTTCTAGAAATATTTGTTTTTCTATGCCAAATAACCATCCCAACAAACCGAAAAGGTTTGACAGTTTATTTTTGGTTAAAAAAATTCCAAAAAAATTAAGTACGACAACGAACATTAATTGTTTAGTCAAAATATGCTCATTTAGTTTTTGGTTTTCCTAGTGTTCAAAATATTCTCTTTAGTTTTCGATTTTCCCAGTGTTCAAAGTATTTTCATTTAGTTTTCGGTTGTTTAGTTCTCATTGTAGTTAGGTACCATGTGAACTAACTCTAAAATGGCCAATTCTCGTCCATTGGAAGATGGAGCACCACCACATTACTCCAGACAAGTAATGAACTATTTGGATGCTATTTTCCCTGGTCGTTGGATTGGTCGTCGAGGTCCTACGGAATGGCCAGCCCGTTCGCCAGATTTGACACCTTTAGACTTTTTTATAGGGCTATTTGAAGCAAAAAGTGTACGAAACTGAACCTTATACTGGATATACGAGAAATAATTAGATATTTGTAGAAATATCGACGTTACTACGTTCGAAAATGTTCGGATAGGCTGTTCTTGTATCAAGAAGTTCAAGGCAACCATTTCGAGCATTTTTTGAACTAAACTCAGCTTATTTCCTCAAATTATGACGTTAAACATCGATGTCTCCAGGTAATTATTAAATGTCCGCCATTTTATAGCAGGTGCAGATATTGACTTTATATTCCAGGGTTGTAGAGTATTTATCAGGAGCTTCAAAATGATGTATCACAAGACCCCCCTTTCCATTTAAATTTATTTCCCAAGATGGCGCCCAGTCGCCATCTTGAAATTTTCAATTGTCAATTTTACTCCAAAATATAGTAATCATGCATTAGTTTCATTATCCCAAATTTCAATTTTCTAAGTTGATCCGTTCAAAAAATAAAAGGGGGGGGGGGGACATTAAAGAAATGCACTGTATAATACGGTTAATAATCTTCGACATGAATATGAGACATTGAATTCATTAATTATATCCCATTCATCGCTACATAATTCAATTAGTTCAATGAAGTAGTAGAGATTAAAAATAGGATATTTCATTGCTTGCAGGAGTCTCCATATGAGGTAAAAGAAAGATTCAAATCAATTGATGAAGCCAAATAAGATTTTTACTGGAATTACTGAACCTATGTTTTCCCATTAAAAAATACCCTGAAGTAGCGCCCTTAAGATCCCAACGTATAGCCCAGTTGGGAACCAGGAAAATTCACAAATTATGTAATCTTTAACAGAAGAAATTCAATGCAACAAAACTCCTTATGACATTTGTGAAAGATCTTATACCGTTCGAAATAACAATAAAAAAAACGCGGAAACAAGGGAAAATTCCTGACATTCGCGCGTTTATATAGAGAATCGCCTGATAAACGTCTGATTCCGCCAATCAACGGCACAAATCCATCTGTGTTTTGTCGCCCGCGCGCACCGCCCCCCTCGTGCCGCCCCCTTATACCCCATCGGTCGCGGAGTCTATAAATGGAAGGGCCGAAGAAGTCTACAGTCGAAGTGAAGTGAAGTTCCGGCGACTTCGGGAAAACCTCCGCGAAGAGACATGAGCGGATCCGGAAAACCGCTGCTCGGCCTGTGGTTGTACCGCAGCGGAGAGGACTGGAGCTATAAGGAGGACAGTCCAATTGCACTCAAGCCGCAGGTATTCTAATTAGTCTAATTTTACTCAAACTAAACTGCTACGCAAAAGTTAAGGAACAAAAGTTAAGGAAGTTCGCAAATTTTGATGGGGTTATTTTAAAAGGTTGAGACTTTTTGATTTTGATATTTGATTCTTTCATATCTGAGTGGATTTTTTGTCCCTATATACCTCAACAACTCATACTAAATTTGGCGATCACAAAACCTGCAACTTTTAAATTAATCTCAATAATTGTAAACTTCCTTAACTTTTGTGGAGAAGAACAATTTTAATGAGGTTGAGGGTTACGTTTTTGACCAATAGAAAATTCTAAAAAAATATATTTTGTAAAAAACAGCATATAAAACCACCCCTGTAAATTTGAAGGAATTTGTCTCGACAGAATAGGGGAAAATAAATAGTAAAATCGTCTGAAATTACATGAGCTCTTATGGGCGGACTTTGGGGCAACTTTGGGATGGTTTAAAAAAAATTAAACGAATAAATGCTTATTAAAAATTTCAAAACCAAATTTCAATCTTATTTTCACACCTTATAATAATATTTAAATTTCGGGGCGCAAGCTACTGGTTTGAAATGTAACACAATATTGCTAGTATAGTTGAAAAAAACCTAAAAATTCGCGGTGATAGCATATTACAAAGGTTTAAAAGAAAAAGGTGGGAAAGCTTCTTATTTAAAATTAACGAAACAATTTTAAAATATAAGATCGACAAAATTAATTGAATAATCCATAGAATTCCGCTGATTCGTTTTTTCCTAAAATCTCAAAAAATTAAAAATTATATTGAAAATAAAAGTTTTACAAAAATTTTAAGGAGTCTGCGCAAAACAATTATTATTTTTAAGTAACTACTCAAAATTTCATAAAAATCGGATAAAAACTAACGATTCTAGAAGTAAAATGAGTTTAATAGATGTCCTTTTAAGATATTTTTTTTAATAATGCGGATAATAAGGAAAAAAATGTAAAGGGATATTTGGTCAAATTTTGGAAGGTTTCTCAGTCTAGTGCGATTCTAGCAATTAATTTAGTGACATTTAAGTTATTTTTATGAATAATTAAGTGTATTTTAAAGTTGTGTTTAAGCGCTTATTTAATTAATTTCTGTGAATAAAAAATAATGCAAAAATTATGAAATAATTATCTTAATGATAAAATAATGAAAGTGATCACGAAAAATGACTATTAATATTAAATAAATCATAGGAAATTGCCGGAGAATCTTTCTAAACTACTTAAATAATTAAATTATGTAAAAAACTGTAAATACATATTCAAAATAAACTATGAAGGGTCTCTCATAAGTTGATACTTTTTTTTTAACTGCGTATAGATCTTTTAATTCAACGAAACTTTTTGAAGTAAAACTTTTTAATATTCTGGAAAATAAGAGAGCATGTTTTTTTTCAATTTTTAATTATTATAAAATTAGTTAATATGGCCCTGTTCATTAAAAGTTAAAGGAACTGCTCAAAATTGTCACCATTTTGATTGGAAACGATTTGGAAACACTCTCCATAAATAATCAGAATGTCCCCCAATTAATTATTTTTATAAAGATGAGCTATTTTTAATTCAACAATCGAAAAATTAATTTTTTGTCATTAATTATTTATAATTTGACACCTGTATCGTAATGGCAGGTACGTATTGAAAAATATTCGAAATTTAAAGAAATTTTAAAAATTTCCATCTTTTTTATTTTCCAGAATATTAAAAATAATTACTTGAAGAAGTTGCTTAGAATTAAAAGAACTGTACGCAGTTAAAAAAAAGTATCAACTCATGAGACACCCTGTATATAATAACAAATATTGTGGATTTTCATAAATATCTGATGAAATTAATCAACTTCCATCGATTTATATCTGCTTATTTTCATTATTTCTATACGAGCAGATAAATTTATCACCTGCAAAATCGTCCGGCCCTCGACAAATTGCGCCAAAATAAAATTACGTTTTTCCGTGGTTTTCCACACAATGGATTGTAACTAATAAAAGCGCTGGAATGGCGCCCAAAATAATGGGTAATTAAATTTTCAATCAAAATGTGCATTCATTCGGCGCGGGAAAAAAAAAGGGAAAAATGGGAAATCCGATGGGTGGATATTAATTGAACATGTTTTGGTGAGTGAGGTGACATTTAATAATACAAAAAAGCAACCGCCAAACAACTGAAACGTGATAATGAATTTACTGCGAGTAAAAAATACGAATTTATTACACACACTAAAAATATTAGCAAAGCTTTTATAAGCTAATTATAAAAAAAATACACACACAGGAATATTTAAAGGAAGAGATATAAAATCCGAATTATTCTCTCTATGTTATACATATTGTTAATATTTCTTAACACAAAGTTACAGTTCAGTTTCAAATCGATATAAAGTGACTCAACTGTCAATGTTATGAAAAATGGTGCAGGAGTCATGTCAAATTCAAATATCAGCGGCGCGGTATGAGTATTAAATATACTCATAAATAGCATTAAATTCAAATAAAATGAATTTATTTAATTTTTTCAAATAATATTGTACCAATTGTTACCATTTTGTCAATTGTACCATCGAGATTCCACATCTTTTCCTCCACCTTTATTTGAATTTAATGCTATTTATGAGTATATTTAATACTCATACCGCGCCGCTGATATTTGACATGATTCCTGCACCATTTTTCATAACATTGACGGATGAGTCACTTTAAATCGATTTGAAACTGAACTGTAGCTGAAATAATTGGGGCACTTTTTACAAAAATTTATCATGTGCAACCTGTTGAAGAAGAGGGCAAGTCAAAGATGTCAGATTTAAGATAAAATAATGGTTTTAAACAGAATAACTTTATTGTACATTTTGAACTTATTTTAATAATTAAATTCATTTTTGTCAATATTAGTCGGTATTAAGTCACCTATTAGTAGCTGCTCTTTGCAATACAAACAAAATTGATGATAACAAATAAAAAACAATAGCAACAAATCCGAACGAATTAAACTGATTAATTAATAACAATTTATTGTTATCTTTGAAACTAGCGTTTGAAATGTAAGACACAAAACAAACTTTGAAGTTTTGACAACAGAAAACGCCCACATTTGACATTTTGACATTAAAAACTTTAATTATGACACGGAACATTAATTATAGGTATCTAGATATAGACTATAAGACAATAAAATATAGAAATACAGGGTGTTTCATTGGGAAAGGGCAATATTTGTGTGGCAATAAATTGTCCTAAAGGTATAGAATATCTATGCCAAATATCAAAAAAATATACGGAGTGATTCAAAAGTTACAGGTGTCGAAAGAAATGGGCCAAATTCAAAAAACACCCTGTAACTCGGTTATAAAGGGCGCAAGACCCATAGTATATGGGTTTTTTGTAATCCCCTGGGTGACCTCTATACAGGGTTAAAATATTGCCCTTTCCCAATGAAACACCCTGTATATTACATTTTTAATCTGTTCCTTTAAATTTGCCAGTGTGTGTACAAATCTTCTTTCCATAACCAATTTTTTTCCTAAATATTTTTTTTGTAAATTCTAATATTAGCAATCGGAAGATAAGGAGGAAACGCCCGTCCAGCCGGAAGAAAAAGAAAAAATATCAATAATTTTCTCGTTGAAAAACCAAGTGGGCGGATTGGTGAGAGCCCTCCAGGCCTTCCAAGACCTAGGAATCAACGTGCAAAGAATCGAGTCCAGACCGTCCCAAACCGGAGAAAATCAAGCCGATTTTCTCGTCGACGTCGAATGCGAACCGAAAAAACTAGAACAGGTAAAATCTGTATACACTCAAACCAATACAGCTAGTGACGTCACAGCCGCGTTAGCTTGAACATTGCATACCCAAAACTCTGCTTTTGAGCGAGAATCGTAAAGTTGTGTGTGATTTTTCAGTTGGGCAGATTGCTCAAGCGGGAAGTAGTGACCATGGTGATCGGAAAATACGGCAGCGAAGACAGCGAGAACGATTTCCCGCCGCCGACGCCGCTTTCCGCCACAGCCAGCTTCGGTGAGTAACTTTTACTGTTGCATCAAATGGCCCGTGGAATTATTCAAATGGAGAAGAGCACGATGTGAGATACGCGCGGATTGTATTAGGAAAAGATACGATTCGAAATGATTCATTAGAGCTCAAAAAACAGTTTACAGTACCTCGAAATGTGGCTATACACCTTGCTCCATTTCCGATTGCAATATGGTCATTTCAATGAGTGGAACAAAGAAAGATTATTGAAATGACAGCTGTCAGAGTGAAAAGTTGCAATGACACAAATGTCACTCTTTCTTTTTCCTTTATAAGTGTCTAATGGAAGTTGTCTTTGTTGCACCCATAGCCTATGTTGCAATGAAAAATAGAACAATCTGTGTGTTGCTATACAAACAATGGAGAAGACCACGATGTGAGATAGGCGAATTTCGGCAAAAGATACGATTAGAAATGATTCATTAGAGCTCAAAAAACAGTTTACAGTACCTCAAAATGTGGCTATACACATTGCTCCATTTCCGATTGCAATATGGTCATTTCAATGAGTGAAACAAAGAAAGATTATTGAAATGACAATTGTCAGAGTGAAAAGTTGCAATGACACAAATGTCTCTCTTTCTTTTTCCTTTATAAGTGTCTAATGGAAGTTGTCTTTGTTGCACCTATAGCCTATGTTGCAATGAAAAATGGAGCAATCTCTGTGTTAAAAATGACAGCTCATATAGTTCAGTACTAACTAATTATTGCTGTACAAACAATGGAGAAGACCACGATGTGAGATATGCGGATTTCGGCAAAAGATACGATTAGAAATGATTTATTAGAGCTCAAAACAGTTTTCAGTTGCTCAAAATGTGGCTATACACCTTGCTCCATTTCCGATTATAATATGGTCATTTCTATGAGTGGAACAAAGAAAGGTTATTAAAATGACAGTTGTCAGAGTGAAAAGTTGCAATGACATAATGTCACTCTTTCTTTTTCCTTGCAATGCAAAATGGAGCAATCTGTATGTTCAAAATGACAGCTCATATATGGTTCAGTACTTACTAATTATTTCTGTACAAACAATGGAGAAGACCACGATGTGAGATAGGCGGATTTTAGTAAAAGATGCGATCAGAAATGATTCATTTGGGATCCAAAACTCCAAAACCGTTTTCAGTTGTTCAAAATGTATAATAATTAAAAATTATTCCTTTCGAAATTTAAAATTTTCGAGTATGACGTAGATGCGTGTTGACCAATCATAAATCACTCGCTTCGTGTTGTATAAATAGTATGAATTTACGAACACACCTAATGAAGAATACAACAAACGAACAACAATCAAACTGTCATTTGTCAGATTTTCCGATAAATACAATGTTGGGTTAAAGTTTTGTTTCTCAACAATCTGCCACCTATATTTTTATAAATTTAGCAGTTATAAAAATCATCTGGAATCTGAAATAATAGAAATCGGAGCTTAAAACTGATCTATGTTCGGTTGTTCGCCTTATTATTTACATTTTTATTATATACTGTGCTTCATTCCAGATCGCAACATAGGTTATATAGGCTATAGGTGCGATAAAGACAACTTCCATTAGACACTTATGAAGGAAAAAGAAAGAGTGACATTTGTTTAATTGCAACTTTTCACTCGGACAACTGTTATTTTATTAATCTTTCTTTGTTCAACTCATAGAAACAACCATGTTGCGATCTGAATTGAAGCAATCTGTATATAACCCACGATCGATAATATTGACGTTGACAAGAATGTTGCCAAATAAATTTTTCATGGTTATTATTTGTGTTTTTAACACGAAAATCGGTTACAATTTATACAGATGAAGATAGTATATTTTTATTATTATATCGAATTTTCTATTATGTAATAAAAAATGGATAAATCAGAAAATGTTTATTGCAATAAATATACAAAAAACGCACATTTTGCGGAGTCAATAAGGGTACTAAGGAATGTGGCAACATTGCTAAATGTGACATTTAATTCCAACTCTCGCTCTGATTGGCGTACACGCTATGACGTTTTTCAAACTTTAAAAATTCATTGCGATCTTATTTGGGCACAGAATCAATCGCCTTCTTAGGACACACTATTTTGAAACAAAATATTAAAAAAAAGCCGTGTTCTTCTCCATTCGAAAATAAAAGTTCTATTACAGTTACGAGAGGTTCCGGAATATTTAAAACGGAACGAAATTAAAACAAACGCGGCCTAAAGAAAAGAATACGTTGAGGATTTCTGAGTGGATATTTAGGTATTTAATTGGTAAATGTTTTTAAGATTTCGATGAAATGCCTTGGTTTCCGAAAAAAATCTCCGAAATCGACCTGGCCCAGAATGTTTTAATGTACGGCAGCGATTTGGACGCGGATCATCCGGGATTCAAGGACCCGGTTTATCGAAAAAGAAGGGAGCATTTTTACAAAATTGCCATGAATTACAAACAGTAAGTACACTCAATCTAATCCTAATCTAACAAACAATTTCATAGTGAGGAAAGTTGTTAAGATATCTAGAAATTTACAAGTAATTTTTACTTAATTTAATACATTTTCAAATTGTTTTAGTGGCCAACCAATACCCAGGGTAAAATACACCCCTGAGGAGATCAAAACATGGTAAGCTATTTACAGATATTACTCAAATATTCTGAATTGATAAATCGAAAATTTAACAAACAATTCGTAACAAAATTGTACAGGGTGGTCCTCTAAGAAAGGCTCTCGGCCATATCTCGCAAACTAATTGTCATAGAGACTTGCGGCAAAAATCTTATGACTAAATCGGCCAAAAGAAAATGCTGGAAATAATTTTTAGGTCTCTAAAATGGCCGCTAGGGGGAGTATCCGCCATCTTGATTTTTAAAAGTAATTTTTTCCAAAATTTTCCTAAATAAAGGTATCAAAAATGTGTTTTATTTTGATAGTTAAGATAATTTCGATTATTTTTTGTTATGTATTTTTGACTCTATCTTTTAAAATTAAGTGGTGAGAGTGGTTTGAATATTTTGACAAATAAACGTTAATAACTTTTAAACGGCCGAACCGATTTTCAAAAAAATTAAATTGTTGAAAAGGGCTTTCTTTGGTCTATAATTTGCACTATATAAGATATTATTTTAATTGCTTGCTTGGCCACAAGATGGCGTTTTTCGACATTACTTCAAAAAACACCGATTTTCTCAAAAAATTTAAATGCAACGATATAACTTTTTCTTTGGAGATAAATTGTCAAATAGAGGACCACCTTGTACATTTCAAATTGGATTCCGAATCAATATCGAGTCGCACTAGCTATAGCGAATTTCTTGATAAATAAACCTCTTCGAACTCGTCCAGTAGAGAAGGTTAATTGAATTTGGAACTGTCAGCAAACATTCCCGTAATTACCGGACGGTCAATTAACCTCGAATAGGTTAAAATAACACTTGACTGCGGATATACCGAACTAAAACTTCCCAAAAATCGGTTAATGGATACAACAAAAATGTCTTTTTAGGGGAACGGTGCTTCGCGAATTGCAGAAACTCTACGAAAAGCACGCTTGCAAAGAGTACCTGGAAAACTGGCCGCAATTGGTGAAGTACTGCGGCTACAGAGAGGATAATATACCGCAATTACAAGACGTCAGTTCGTTTCTCAAACGGAAAACTGGATTTCAATTGAGACCGGTCGGTGGATACTTGAGCGCCAGGGATTTCCTGGCCGGACTGGCTTTCAGAGTTTTCCATTGCACCCAGTATATAAGGCATTCAATCGATCCATTTTACACACCCGAACCGTAAGATTTGTTCAATAAAATCAAACGAATTTTAGTTAAGATTAAGTTAAAAATTTACCAATGAAATTGCTTTATTTTAAACTACACACATGCATATTAACAGATTAAACAGATTAAAACCAGAGTATTTTGTACTGGTATGTACAGGGTGGCCAATTAAGATTGCGAGGTAATTTTTATTTTTTAAACTAATTTTTCTAGTTTTTTTTATCAAAAATTAAACATCTTTTTTTGAGAATATTGAAATTTATTGAAGAAGACAAATAATAGAAGGAATTTCCGTATAAAATTTTCTTTGGCCTAAATTTTAGATTAGGAACAAGATATCGAGATTTGGTTTTCGCGAGCTGGTTTAGGCACCATTTAGCTAATTATTCATGAAAAAAAAATCATACCAATGCATTTAATTTTTTTGAGAAAATTAACCATTTCCGTCGGAATGTCGAAAAAAGCGCTCTACTAGCGACACGTTAATCTAACAAAACTTTAAATAATATAACTTTTGTAGCCCAAGAATAGCTCTTTTTAACTAGCCCAAGTTTGTTCAAATCGGCTCAGCTGTTTCGAAGATACAGGGTGTTTTTTAGGGAAACATTTGAATAACACTCACCACTTTATTTTTAGAGATACAGCAAAAATTGTTAAACAAAAAAGGTTCATATTATACTTGACTCTAAAGATCTGGTATTTTTTTGTTAGGTTAATATAGCGGAATTTATAGAAATATCACTTTTTTAGTTTCAATATTGCAGTTACACCTCGTAGCGGTCATTTCAGAAACTTGAAAATATTTTCCAGGTTTTTCTCTTGGCCGTTTTAGTAATAACTTTTTTACCGCAATCCTCTACGATGCATAGTTTCCCAGATACAGTACCTCGCAATCTTAATTGGCCACCCTGTACATAATACATTTTTGTGAGAAATGATCCAATTACTTCACTTAACTTTGTGTTAAGAGATTATGTTAGAAATACTAACAATATTCATAGAGAAAATACTTAGATTTTATACAGGGTGTTCGTAAACATCGTGTACATCCGAAAGGGGGTGATTCCTTGACTTATTTTATGACTAAAAGTTCATATAAACGTGGGTCCGCTAAGGCTTTTTTATCGATCTACAGGGTGTTGAAATGTCAAGATTTTTTTTTGTTTTGTTTTTTAGAACTCCTGCAGTTTTTGAGATATTTAGCTCAAATTAGGTATAGGATATAGAGTAAAGAGTGTAATTTGAGTAGGAGGGGGTCACTTTCAACATTTATTATAATGTAATTTAATAGTTATTATTAGGGTTTTTGTTTTGTAAAATAAATCATTTGTACAGAAAAACAGAAAATCATTTTTATTTTTTTTTCTCGAAAACGGTCACAGAAACGAAAAAAGTGTAAAAATAAAAAAAGTTTCTAAACAAAACAGACAATTAATTTTGTATTTTAGAATCTACCAGCGGCGCACAGCAAAAAAGTTTGAGGGGAAAAAGGGTACATGACCCTGAAAAAATATCACCCTGTAGAATTCAGCAACCATCTGATATACCCAATAATGTGTGCCCTATAAAGCAATCTAGATTCAAAATGTGAGCTAAATATCTCAAAAAGTGCAGGAGCTACAAAGAAAAAACCAAAAAAAATTTGAAATTTCAACACCCTGTAGATCGGCAAGGAAGCGTTTGCAGACATATATTTATATGAACTTTTAGTCATAAAATAAGACAAGGAATCGAATGTTTAGGAACACCCTGTATTTTAAACTAGATTTACCTCTAGTCGAAGTCGTTTAATTCAAAATAATAAGCTTCATGTAAACAACCAATCTGTTTTAGGCTTTATTGTTTATTAAAATTTTTGGTTTTTTTAGAGATTGTTGCCACGAATTACTAGGTCACATGCCTCTTCTGGCCAATCAGAGCTTCGCTCAGTTTTCACAAGAACTAGGTTTAGCTTCCTTGGGAGCTTGTCAAGAAGATATCGATAAATTAGCTACAGTAAGTACACAATCATTCTCTAATAAATCAATAGGTTTGTTCCTACAAAAAGTCACTAATGATTTGTTACCAATAAGTTTCTGACTCTTCTATTTCGCATGCGCGGTTTATAATTGAATGATGTTATCAAATTTTTGATTTCTTCATGTAACAGTCTTTACATTTATTACATATTCACCAAATATCAAACAAAAACAACAAACAACATTACCTAATAATTAACCTACATTCAGAAATATAAATTAAACCCGAATTGAAAATGCGCTTGCGCCGGATTCCAAATCTCTGTACTATCAGCAAATTTTTCTGACTATCACAAAACCAGTCCCTTGAACTGTTGGAACAATAAATTGTTAACCAAGTCAGAATCAGAAATGTCTTGCGCAGACTCCTGACGACCACCGGCTATTTCTGACTGCTGTAAGAACAAACCTAATATACAATCCCTACCAACCAAACTCCAGGGGCCTGTTTCATATAACTGACAAGTTGACAAGTTACAAGTCGACAAGTTACAAGTGTTGGTTGACAACTATTTAAAAATTTCGTTTCATAAAATAAATTTCGACACTTGTCGAATTAAATTTTTGGCATCTGTTTTTCTACAACTGTAATATTAATTAAACGTCAGACTTAAGCCAAAAAGAAAAAAATTAGTACTTACTATACTGAGGAGCATAAGTATATCACCACCTTCGTTTTTCGACATTGGGAAACTTTTACTTTGAAATTGTATTTTTTCTGGTTGGAGCTATTTTTAGATGTGAACCTAAACATTTTCGTTTATTGACAAAAAACTTATTTCTAAAATGCAGCAACATTTATTTTATATTCAATTATTTTAATAAAGAAATGACATTCTATTTGGAAAATTTAGTCCCACTTCTACAAAAGCTATAAAACGTGAGCATTGGAACGAACAAAGACAATGCATAATTTCTATACGTTGGTTCTATACATTAGGCGGGAACCAATAGATTTTATTATTTCCTCAATTTTTATCGAATTCATTCGAAATCGTTTAATAAACTCATTAAGCTTCCTCCTCACTGTCGCTTGACCACATTTTCTTTTAAATTTACAAGAAAATCGGATGGTGACAGGAAATCAAATCCCTGTCGCTTTACACTAATATATGATAGGAATAAACGACAAGTGTTGTTTAATTTATTTTTTATGAAACGCAAACCTATCTACAATTGTAAAACATACTTGTAATATTAGGCTAGTCACTTGTCACTAATAATCTACTCACTAATCTACAAACTTGTCAAATACTCCAGTCAAATTTAGACTACACTTGTCCGACAGGACTTGTCAGTTATACAGTGTGTGTCACGAAGAGGGCCCATTAGAAGTATCTGGAAAAGTAGTTGTAATTAAAATTTGAAAATATGTGTACAAGTATTAGTCGATGCGCTCTATTCAATGAAAATATTTTCAACTTTTCTTTACTTCCGGTTATACCGGAAGTGGACATCAACTTTGTTATTTTAAATGGAACACCCTATATATTAATATATTTTCGAAATGTACGAAAAATTTTAGAGTACTTTTGTCTAAAAAACTTTTTTCAAAAATGCATACTTTTTGAGTTACTAATTTTTTTTTTGGAAAAATTTGACCGATGCAGATCCTTATAAATTACTTTTTTACGGGGATCCCTTTAAAGATATGGATACGGTTTCTGTAGGGTGGTCACTAGCAAGGTCAAAGGTATTTGAATCTGTGTTAAAAAACTTTTTATTTATACAGGGTGTATACAAAACATGTGAAAAGTTGAACTTCAAAAATACCAAGTTTTTTAATTTTTTTAAATGGAACCATCCATTTTTTTCTATTTTATTGAAATCAGCGGTAAAAAATAAGGGAAGTTCATGTTTACTTCCCTATACCCAAACCTAATAGTTTTGAAAATATTAAAAATTTTACTTAAAACTTACTTTTCTGTCTTATTCTTAACTAATCCCTTTTTACAAGTTGGCCAAGTAATATCGTATAAGTACCAACATTAATAATCAATTAATTACAAACAATTTACATGGCCAACTTGTAAAAAGGGATTAGTTAAGAATAAGGCAGAAAAGTAAGTTTTAAGTAAAATTTTTAATATCATCAAACCTATTAGGTTTAGGTATAGGGAAGTAAACATGAACTGTCCTTATTTTTTATCGCTGATTTCAATAAAATAGAAAAAAATGGGTGGTTCCATTTAAAAAAATTAAAAAACTTGGTATTTTTGAAGTTCAACTTTTCACATGTTTTGTATACACCCTGTATAAATAAAAAGTTTTTTTAACACAGATTCAAATATCTTTGACCTTGCTAGTGACCACCCTACAGAAACCGTATCCATATCTTTATGGGGATCCCCGTAAAAAAATAATTTATAAGGGTCTGCATCGGTCAAATTTTCCAAAAAAAATTAGTAACTCAAAAAGTATGCATTATTGAAAAAAGTTTTTTAGACAAAAACATTCTAAAATTTTTCGTACATTTCGAAAATATATGAATATATGAGGTGTCCCATTTAAAATAACAAAGTTGCCATCCACTTCCGCTACAACCCAAAGTAAAAAAAAGTTGAAAATATTTTCATTGAATAGAGCGCATCGACTAATACTTGTACACAAATTCCCAAATTTTAATTACAACTACTTTTCCAGATACTTCTAATACGCCCTCGTCGTGACACACACTGTACGAAACAGCACCCAGCTCGCTTGTTAAAAGTGTTGCCTATACACTCCCATAAAATCCCACTCCTGATTTCGTCGCTTCCTCTTTCCAGCTCTACTTTTTCACCGTGGAATTCGGCCTGGCCAAGCAGAACGGCGATCTCAAAGTCTACGGAGCCGGATTGCTCAGCTCCGTCGCCGAATTGAAGCACGCCATCGCCTCCACCGACAAAGTAAAACGCTTCGATCCGGAGGTCACCTGCAGGCAGGAGTGCATCATCACCGACTACCAATTGGGCTACTGGTACACCGACAGCTTCGAAGAGGCCAAAGAGAAGATGCGCACGTTCGCCGAACGGATCAAACGGCCGTTCGGCATCCGCTACAATCCCTACACGCAGAGCGTCGAGGTGTTGAGCAACGAGACGAAAATCACGGCGCTGGTGTCGGAGTTGCGCGGCGATTTGTGCATCGTCAACAGCGCCTTGAAGAAGATCAGCGCCAGGGATTCCACGTTGGACGTGAATCGGATAGCGTCGCTCTTGCAAAAGGGATTGATCCAAGATGGTACCGCTAACAACGACGATGGCAAACCTGGTGATGATGATGTTAATTGATTCGGCGAATGTGTAAAATACAAACCAAAATGTACATGTAGTTATGTAGATTGAATAAAGTATTTATCTAGTTATATTCTATAGTGAATTTCTTTAATGGTCCCCCCCCTTTTATTTTTTGAACTTAGAACTTAGGATCAACTTAGAAAATTGAAATTTGGGATAATGAAACTAATGCATGATTACTATATTTTGGAGTAAAATTGACAGATTAAAATTTCAAGATGGCGACTGGGCGCCATCTTGGGAAATAAATTTAAATGGAAAGGGGGGTCTTGTGATACATCATTTTGAAGCTCCTGACAAATACTCTACAACCCCGGAATATAAAGTCAATTTGTGCATCGTCAACAGCGCTTTGAAGAAGATCAGCGCTAGGGATTCCACGTTGGACGTGAATCGGATAGCGTCGCTCTTGCAAAAGGGATTGATCCAAGATGGTACCGCTGACAACGACGATAGCAAACCTGGTGATGATGATGTTAATTGATTCGGCGAATGTGTAAAATACAAACCAAAATGTACATGTAGTTATGTAGATTGAATAAAGTATTTATCTAGTTATATTCTATAGTGAATTTCTTTAATGGTCCCCCCCCTTTTATTTTTTGAACTTAGAACTTAGGATCAACTTAGAAAATTGAAATTTGGGATAATGAAACTAATGCATGATTACTATATTTTGGAGTAAAATTGACAGATTAAAATTTCAAGATGGCGACTGGGCGCCATCTTGGGAAATAAATTTAAATGGAAAGGGGGGTCTTGTGATACATCATTTTGAAGCTCCTGATAAATACTGTACAACCCCGGAATATAAAGTCAATTTGTGCATCGTCAACAGCGCCCTGAAGAAGATCAGCGCCAGGGATTCCACGTTGGACGTGAATCGGATAGCGTCGCTCTTGCAAAAGGGATTGATCCAAGATGGTACCGCTGACAACGACGATGGCAAACCTGGTGATGATGATGTTAATTGATCCGGCGAATGTGTAAAATACAAACCAAAATGTACATGTAGTTATGTAGATTGAATAAAGTATTTATCTAGTTATATTCTATAGTGCATTTCTTTAATGGTCCCCCTCCTTTTATTTTTTGAACGGATCAACTTAGAAAATTGAAATGTGGGATAATGAAACTAATGCATGATAACTATATTTTGGAGTAAAATTGACAGATGAATATTTCAAGATGGCGACTGGGCGCCATCTTGGGAAATAAATTTAAATGGAAAGGGGGGTCTTGTGATACATCATTTTGAAGCTCCTGACAAATACTCTACAACCTCGGAATATAAAGTCAATTTGTGCATCGTCAACAGCGCCCTGAAGAAGATCAGCGCCAGGGATTCCACGTTGGACGTCAACCGGATAGCGTCGCTCTTGCAAAAGGGATTGATCCAAGATGGTACCGCTGACAACGACGATAGCAAACCTGGTGATGATGGTGTTAATTGATCCGGCGAATGTGTAAAATACAAACCAAAATGTACATGTAGTTATGTAGATTGAATAAAGTATTTATCTAGTTATATTCTACAGTGCATTTCTTTAATGAACCCCTCCCCCCTTTTATTTTTTGAACTTAGAACTTAGGATCAACTTAGAAAATTGAAATTTGGGATAATGAAACTGATAGCGTTTTCCATTGGTAAAAAAGTGCGCACTGAAAGTGCACTCGAAGCAAAATTTTTGTTTCATTTGGTGGACTGTGTGAGTGTTTTGATTTCCAAAAGTCCTTTTTGGTGGCCAGATTGCCAATGAAAATCAAAACACTCGCACAGTGCATCAAATGAAACAAAAATTTTGCTTTGAGTGCACTTTTTTACCAATGGAAAACGCCATAATGCATGATTACTATATTTTGGAGTAAAATTGACAGATGAAAATTTCAAAATGGCGACTGGGCGCAATATTGAGAAATAAATTTAAATAAAAAGGGGGGTCTTGTGATACATCATTTTGAAGCTCCTGACAAATACTCTTCAACCCTGGAATATAAAGTCAATATCTGCACCTGCTACAAAATGGCGGACATTTAATAATTACCTAAATAAATCGACGTTTAACGTCATAATTTGAGGAAATAAGGTAAGTTCAGTTCAAAAAATGCTCGAAATGGTTGCCTTGAACTTCTTGATATAAGAACAGCCTATTCGAACATTTTCGAATATAGTAACGTCGATATTTCTACAAATATCTTTAATTATTTCTCGTAGATCCAATATTGAAGCAGGTTCAGTTTCATACACTTTTTGCTTCAAATAGCCCCATAAAAAAAGTCTAAACGTGTCAAATCTGGTGAGCGGGCTGGCCATTCCGTAGGACCTCGACGACCAATCCAACGACCAGGGAAAATAGCATCCAAATAGTTCCTTACTTGTCTGGAGTAATGTGGTGGTGCTCCATCTTCCAATGGACGAGAATTGACCATTTTAGAGTTAGTTCACGTGGTACCTAACTACAATAAGAACTAAACAACCGAAAACTAAATGAAAATACTTTGAACACTAGGAAAATCGAAAACTAAAGAGAATATTTTAAACACTAGGAAAACTAAAAACTAAATGAGCATATTTTGACTAAACAATTAATGTTCGATGTCGTACTTAAATTTTTTGAAATTTTTTTAACCAAAAATAACTTGTCAAACCTTATCGGTTTGCTGGGATTGCTATTTGCCATAGAAAAACAAATATTTCTAGAAAAATTGATATTAATTTGTTTGTATTCAGGTAATTATTAAATGTTCCGCCATTTTGTAATGGGTGCAGATATTGACTTTATATTCCAGGGTTGTAGAGTATTTGTCAGGAGCTTCAAAATGATGTGTCACAAGACCCCCCTTTCCATTTAAATTTATTTCCCAAGATGGCGCCCAGTCGCCATCTTGAAATTTTCGTCTGTCAATTTTACTCCAAAATATAGTAATCATGCATTAGTTTTGTTATCCTAAATTTCAAATTTCTAAGTTGATCCGTTCAAAAAATAAAAGGGGGGGACATTAAAGAAATGCACTGTATAATACGGTTAATAATCTTCGACATGAATATGAGACATTGAATTCATTAATTATATCCCATTCATCGCTACATAATTCAATTAGTTCCATGTTACCATGCAATATACAAAGCGATATCTTGGGATAATTAGCAATCGAATATTTCCGTGTAATGGTCGCTATTAAACCGGATCGAATTTGCCTCTCTAATTAGTGTAGGTTTGGAAGAAAACCTCATTACAGGAACCGTTCGGTCCGGTTTAAATTAACTCGATTGACGGGGGTCCTCTCCAGCGATCGCTTCGAGGGATTATGGCAACAAACTATTCGGGGTCGAGGTGCGCCTATTCATTCCGGAAGGATTAACCTGTTGTAATAACTCGATTAAATAAGCAATTACCACTTACTTGTCGGCGACGTGGTCGGTTATTCAACGATGAATCCGGTGTGATTGGAATTCGGCAAATTTCATGAGATTCGATTGCTTGTCCAGTTCTGCAAAGATTTTAATAAAAGCATTGAAAGTACAATAAATTTTTAAAGTCTAAATCAAAAACATAACACTGTAAGGAACAGATGCTTTATGTTCGTATGAACTTTTTTATTAGAAATAACCTAAAGAACAAGATACCTTAGTACCGGGAGAATTTCATAAAACACCCTGTATTTAAAAGTAACTTAAACACCCCTTGTAACGCCACTATAATGCCCGATTTCACCAACCAGTTCCTAAAGTTAGGTAATACCTAAACAGGATTTAGGAATTCCTAAGTACAATTCGCGTTTCACCATGCACTAAGTAATACCTAAAGGTAATAGGAAATGCCTAAAGTTAGGATAGCTCACTGGGCTTGCCTAAAACATTTAGGAAATACTTAACCATACTTTCCATGTGATTTCATGTGACTTAAGTCTTGACTGTCTTTAGACTCTTTAGATGAACATTTAAAATGGGAGGAGAGTTTTTAGAAACTGGACGAAACTGATTTTTTTTCGCCTTTTTCGATATATAAAAATACGGCATTACAAATATTAGAATGAATTGAGGATGATTTTTAATTTGATACAAGTTTTTGGAACTATTGACCCTACAAATGCATGTAAATATCCATAGTCCTGGAGAAGAAATATTTTACAAATCGGAAAGGTTATTTTTCTAATAATGTACAGACTACATCTTCAGCAGATTTAAAAATAACTAACATAATTTAAAGATGGCCCGGATCGTCAACATATCTTCTTTTCTCTCAAGATATTCAATTTCGATCTCCGCTTATTCGGTTTACACATCAAAATTAGCCAATGCTACCAATAAAATTCAAAAAATTGTCGAAATCAAATTTTTACCTAGGTATTTCTTAGTAAGGGATTTCTAATGTTGGTGAAATTCGATTTAGGTAAGTATTCGATTTAAGCAATTCCTACCTTAGGAATTACCTAGTTAGGAAATACCTAAGAACATGTTGGTGAAATCAGGCATAAGAAATTTAGTGGCTACTAACATCTCAGTAAACATTAAATCGAACTATGAATTCGATTTTTTTAGTGAGATGTTAGTAGTGTGTTAGTAGCCACTAAATACGACTATGAATAAGACTGTAGATATTTGGAAACGTGGATACCTGTAAGAAGCTGAAGAAGTAAATGTATTAACACGAAATCCAGTTGAAATTCAAATATTAGCAACGATGAGATGCTTAGCAAAGGGGTAGTAAGAAACACATTAAAAAGGCAGGAAAGACTCAATGAGCGCTTGATTTCACGCACTAGACATTTGTTGAATGTTTTAAATTATGTTTACAAGTAACTTAAACACCTCTTGTAACGCCACTAAGAAATTTAGTGGCTACTAACAAAAATAACATCTCAGTAGCCAATAAATGGAACTATCAATTCGATTTTTTTAGTGAGATGTTAGTAGTGTGTTAGTAGCCAATAAATACCACTATGAATAAGGCTGTAGATATTTATGGAAACGTGATGCCTATAAGAAGCTGAAGAAGTAAATGTATTAACACGAAATCCAGTTGAAATTCAAATATTAGCAACGACGAGATACTTAGCAAAAGGGTAGTAAGCAGTGATGTTAAAATTACTTTATAATATGTAATTAATTACAATTACAATTACTTTTGGCTAATTGTAATTAATTGCAATTACAATTACAAAATTTGCGAATGTAATTAATTACAATTACAATTACTTTTGGCTAATTGTAATTAATTGCAATTACAATTACAAAATTTGCGAATGTAATTACAATTACAATTAAAGTTACAATTACAATTACAATTACACTCACAATTACTTTGCTTTGGTGTCAGTTTCAAATAATTATTTAGGGATTTGCAATCGGAATTAAACTTTCCACGTATTGAAAATAAAAAATAAGTACTTTTGTGTCCAATGTAATCGAAATGTAATTGTAAAATGTAATTGTAATTGTAACGAAAGGAGTAATTGAATTACAAATGAATTACAATTGAAGAGCTTGTAATTAATTACCGCCTCAATTACAATAAAAGTAATTCAATTACTTGTAATTAATTCAATTCGAAAAGTAATTCAATTACTTGTAATTAATTACTTAACAACACTGGTAGTAAGTAGTAAAAAAAAACACACAGTAAAAAGAGAAGAAATCGCAGCCATTCGAACCGTCATCGCGAGCTAAAGCATCCCGGCCCGATTTTTCGCACGCGCCCGTCCTGTATAGCGTTGATCAATAGTCGGGTTCGCTCCTCTCTCGGCGAGATCGTGTCCCGTACTCGCTCGGCTCCGTTCGAACTCGAAGAACGAACGCACCGCGCACTCCTCCTCTCGATTTTTCCCCGTTCACAAGCCGCTGTAACCCGACCAGAAGAGCTTCTTCGCATCCGAGAGGCTGGGGCTGGTGGTGGTTCGATTTGCTCGATTTTGCTCGATTAGTTTTATACAAGCTCGGCGTTTGGTACGGTGGTCGTCCGTTGGTTTTCGGTGCTCATCCGTTGGTTTTCGGTGGTGCTGAAACGGGCCATTTCGATCATTTAAGGTGAGTCTGATTTGCTGTTTTTTTTTTGGTTTTTTTCGTGAGGCTGGATTTGGGGGTGGCGAGATCGAATCTCCGGCGAATGGTTTTCGGTTTGGTTTATTTTGTGCTGTAATCGAGCGACGAATAGTGCTTTGCAGTGTTGTTAAGTAATTAATTACAAGTAATTGAAAAAGTAATTGAATTATTTTTATTGTAATTGAGGCGGTAATTAATTACAAGCTCCTCAATTGTAATTCATTTGTAATTCAATTACTCTTTTCGTTACAATTACAATTACATTTTACAATTACATCTCAATTACTTTGGACACAAAAGTACTTATTTAATATTTTCAATACGTGGAAAGTTTAATTTCGATTGCAAATCCTTAAATAATTATTTAAAACTGACACCAAAGCAAAGTAATTGTGAGTGTAATTGTAATTGTAATTACATTCGTAAATTTTGTAATTGTAATTGCAATTAATTACAAATTGCCAAAAGTAATTGTAATTGTAATTAATTACATATTATAAAGTAATTTTAACATCACTGGTGCTTTGTAATCACTAAATTGATTTGAATTTGCAATTATAATAGTAATCGGATTTGTAGTGATGTGCAATAAGCAAAATACCGCTAAATCGGGTAATTATTAATGGAACAATTAATTTGCATTTTAATTGTCAATACATATTTGTGTTGAACAACAGATATAATTTAACTGGATAATGGTAGATATATTTTTTTATACAAATATTTATGCTTAACTAAAAAATATGTTTGTGTGCAATTTTTCATCAGAAGATTATTTAATTAATTTATTCAACAGATTCATTATTATTCCATTTATTCATTAACGATTAATTAAGCAAATACCTACATGAATACCTTTCAAACAAAATATTAAATATATAAATGAGGGAAATTACTATTAAATTTAACGTAAATTATTTACTGTGTACTGCAGTACCTATTTCAAATTAACAAAAATGCGGAAAATTTATTATTTTTTGGACTAAATTAATTTATTCAACAGATTTTTTATTATTCCATTTATTCATTAAAACGATTAATTAAGCAAATACCTTACAAGAATACGTTTCAAACAAAATATTAAATACCTAAATGAGGAAAATTACTATTAAATTTAACGTAAATTATTTATTGTGTACTGCAGTACCTATTTCAAATTTAAAAAAAATACGGCAAATTTATTATTTTTTGGACTAAATTAATTTATTCAACAGATTCTTTATTATTCCATTCATTCATTAACGATTAATTAAGCAAATACCTATACATGAATACCTTTTAAACTAAATATTAAATACCTAAATGAGGGAAATTACTATTAAAAATAACGATAATTATTTACTGTGTATACATCAGTACCTATTTCATATAAAAAAATGCGCCAAATTTATTATTTTTTGCACTAAATTAGTGTATTCAACAGATTTATTATTATTCCATTCTTTCATTAACGATTAATTAAGCAAATACCTATACATGAATACCTTTTAAACTAAATATTAAATATCTAAATGAGGGAAATTACTATTAAATTTAAGGTAAATTATTTATTATGTACTGCAGTAACTACCTATTTCAAATTAAAAAAATGCGGCAAATTTATTATTTTTTGCACTAAATACCCAGCACCAAATACCTAACATAAATTAAACAGCTCGTTAACCAAAAAAAAAATCTTATCTCCGGCACTTCAGGATGCAATTCGTGCAAAATCCGTAATTTCTTCGCGTATAATTAAACCGTTACCGTGGCCGACGAATGGCTCCGTAAAAGGCCGGCATATTTCATTACTTCAGGAAAATTCCTGCGAAAATCGTCAAAGCCGACCTACATCGGGTAAATCATTTGCGTGCAATCGATGGTACGGCGAGCATAATTGGAATTCCTCCAGTTTGGATAATGACAGCCCCCGGAAAAGCCGAAGAGATCGTTCGGCGATTTTCCGAAACGGTTTCATCTCGTTTCGGAAAATATACGGGGGACCCGGCGTTGCGGTCGGATGAGCCCCATCCAGCTTTTACGTTAGGTATCTATTTTTTTTTATCAGCGATCGGAGTTTTCCGAGTGTACCGAGAACGAGAGGAAAACCCTCGAGGAAACGGTAGACGTTTTGTTCTATCATTCGGGGAAATTCTCTCCTTTGTAAATCGCATCCGGCGAGCGCGGATACGATTCATCGTCGCATTCTTCGAGCATACTTTGCGAATGGAGAAAGGAAAATACCAGGGAAACGTAAACGATTCAAAAAGCTCAATCCATACCTCTGATATATCCAAGAGGACTAAAAAGAGATGTATACATAACTAAAACAGATGAAACTGGTAGTTTTTCGTGCATCTGTTACAACCTTACCGACATTAATCGTGACATCTATTTTATTTTAATTCCATCTTTTAACGATAATAAAGTAACTTAATATAAGAGTTAAATAGGTACCCTATTAAAACAAACGGATGGTTTTGAAAAGATGAGCTTTTATGTCCTAAAATTTCTTATTTTCATACATGCAAGAAAAAAAATAATAGCTAAAATAACTTTTTTAGAAGCTATCTGATTTTTTTTTGAAATGACAATCTTTTAACTGACTTTTCTCGGTGTAGTTTGTAAACAATGTAAGTAAACATAACCTTAAATTAAATATATCTGTCACGTAAAGGATTTCAATTACAACCCGGCAACGTTGCAACAGGCTGGCTCATGACGTCATTGCCTAACGAGATGGAATATGGTATAGATTGAATATTATATTATTTTCATAGATAAGTAAAACAGATGAAACTGTTTGCAAAATTTTAGGGTACCAACAATAGGTCACAGTCTAACAGAAAATAGAGGTAAAACATTGCATGTTATCGCGCTATTTTTTACAATTTCCTTCTGCTATATTTATTATTTTTATATCCTTATTATGTAATCGTCTTAATACTAAAAACTAATGTTATTTACATTCTTCAAAATACACCCACAACATATAATAAATTGCAAGTTTAAGTAATATAGTGTCAAAATTTGACGAATTATATATTTCAAAATTCCTGTAATAGATAAACTCTTACAAATTTGGCAACGGTGTATTTTGGCTCGTAGTAAAATTTGTAAACGATTTCGACTAAAGAGAGATCAGAGAACAGTATCTATTTTATTTTTCCAGCAAATAATAGCAAATATAGGGAAACCGGAAAGCAGTTGTCACTGTTTTTTCATACAATATCAACAAAATTTTCTACGAAATATTAAATAATGTTATATTTTTACCATAACAATTCTTAAAATAGTTAAATTCTTATTTAAAATATATTTTCCTACGCTCAAAGCACCTGATTGGATCCGCCATGTTACCTCTATTTCTCTATCTTACTTTTTCCGCCTCGTTTACTTAATAAGTGACAGATAATTTTCAATGTTGGCGTCAAAAATTTTTGAATTTATGAATGATTGGTTGAGGATGTGGGACTGAAGCTCGTTTATTAAGCACAATATTTTCAACTACCCTTCATTGGAGTCTCCTGTTGAATATGTTGATTTAAACAAATTCCATCATTTTCAACAGTTCAATACTCTTTTATCCATCTGGACATCAACCAGCGAAATTTACAAACAATTTTTGGAAAACACGCAGCAATCAACGAAATTATTTGTTTACAACAACAACGCGAAAACAAAAATTTGTTTTGCGCCTCGACGAAATGATTGTCCTTATTTCGGTTCTAAATTTACGATCCACTTTCGCTTCCGCTACGCGGCGATAAAAATTATTAAAAATAAAAACGAAACAGATAAATCCGCAGTGCGTGATGCACTCGGCTTCTTCCAGAAAGGTTATTGCACCTCGATCGCGTTTCGAATTTCCGGGACAGCGCCCCGTGATTGCCACCCCCCGGGGGGAATCGGGGGCGCGATTTCCCGCTAACTATGTATAATATAGCACGGTGAGAAATGATGGGAAATCGCAAATCGCGTGCCTGCAATTATTCCCTGTCGCTGAACGTTCGATTAGATCGCTAACAATCGTCAAATGTCAACGTCAATTAGTTTGTGTTATATATCCAATTGAAGACGAGACACAATAATGGAAAGGAGTACGATGTGAGATATACGATTTTTAGTCAAATACACTCCTGGACAAAATTAACGCAACATCATAAATTTGCCACATTTTTTATGCTATTTTTTGTTTGAATTTATAATCCTATTTAGATGATTTTTTTTTGTATTATAGGTTGGTTCCTTGACAATGTCATCATTTTCGCTGTTTATGATAAAATGTTCCTTCTCGATTATACCGGGTGTAATAAAAATGTAATGTTTTTTTCCGAAAATTCGTATCACTGTGGAGTATACTAGCAAACGAGACATACTTAGTATAGCAGTTGAAATTAGACGGTAGATCCATCTTTTGCCAACATTTTCTTTTTTGGTTTACTTCGTTATCTCTGTTATTAAAGGAGATACGCCGTTTTATAGCATAACATGTTTTAATAGATTGTATTATTCAAAACATTCATTGTTAAATATTTTCAAGTAGGCTATGGGCCATTTTTGACATTTCAAGTGATGTGTCAATATCGAATACATTAACGCAAGTTAATTTTGTCCAGTAGTTTATATGAAAAGATATAACTCGTTAGAACCTAAATCAGTTTTCAGTTGCTGAAAATATTTAATATTTTAGGAAATATAACCATTTTAAATTGAAAATTTTGACCCGTGACGTGTAAAGTCACTAACCAATCACAAGAGAGCTTTGTTGTATTGAATTATTTGTGACATAAGAATTCGAACAAACTGTTCTGAGGAATAGAAGAAACGAACAAAAGTGAAATGTAACGTCAAATGACAGATGACATATTTAAGTTTAGGTTATTGTAATTTCTTTGTTTTAAGATTATTGGACCAAAAGTATAACACTTTTTTAGAATACAATGAAGAATTTTCACCAAACGGCATGAAACAAAAGGTTTAACTACCTTCGGATGCGACATTTT